ATGAATCGCACATGGAATTGTCCTGATCGCACCAGCTTTGACGTAGAAAGTGGATTCACAGGATCGCCTAGATCCCGGCCTCGAGCACCGGGTGTATCAGAAGTCAGGAGAGAGCCATGTCGGCGCCACCCAGCCGGCATGGCCCATCAACACCGATGCACCATCAACACCAACGATCGCATTCGCAGACAACTACAAACACCACCAGCACCGCTGCAACCGGCATCCGCGTTGTCCCCTACACGCCGCCCCGACTTGCCGACGACGATGATCGCCGAGACAGCCAGACGTCATCCGTCTACCACTCCAACTCGAGCGCGGACGGGCGCCGCTCGGGCAATTCCAGCGATGACCGCCTCGGACGCCCGACCATTGCATTGGTCGAGGAGGCTTCGGACGAGGAGCGCGAGGAGCGTCAGCACACCCAAGGTCCCGATTCGAAGGAGGTAGCAGTCGAGGGTTATGCCGTCAGCGAGACGGCCACCAGCAGCTTGGGTTCCGCATTGTCCTCGGCTACGACGTCGACCCTGTCGTTGTTGGCAAAAGGCAAGGATGAAGGAGTTTCAGGATTGCGACTTTCTGGCCATTCCACCGTCTCCGTTGTTCGAGATTCAACCAGCCCGACCCCTTTGCCCAGGAGGCTGTCCGATGTTTCAAGAAGCATTGCCCGATTCAACGCTGCTGCCGCAACCCAGTCTGCATCAAACATTGTCACCCAGGATGTTCGTCGCGGCCGTCGCGATTCAGCCTCGCCTGCACCCACGATTCGCCCGCGGTCCTTCTCCAGACAGCGCAAGATCATTGCCCTCAACCCGGACAAGACTTTCAGAATCGTCACCACCGACGAGGACCCTGCCGACGTCGTCAAGGCCCCCGTCATCCCTTCCTCATCCACAGCCACGTCCTCGTTTCGCCCGTCGGTCGACGTATCGAGTGATGACCGTACCAGCACGTCTCTCAGCATCGATACCCCCTTTACCGTCGGCACCCCCTTCTCGGGTAACACACTTACCGCCCGGGAACCTGCTCCATCTGATCTTGCCGCATCTTTTGTCCAATCTCCTGATTCGTCTACCACCCAACTAATACAAGGTTCTGTGCCCTTGGCTTCAACGTCTTCTGGCAACCGCATGGTCGGTGGTCTACGTAGAGTTACCCATACTGCAGATCTCACGCACGAATACTCACCTGCGATCGACCCGCCCCTTGCTCCGTTACAAGAAGTAGCATCCAACGAATCGCGTAGCGACAACAACTTGACCCCGACTACCTCGAGGGTTATCGCGCCAAAGCCTTCATTTACATCTGGTATCTCTGGTGTCTCTGGTCTTACTATCGCATCTGACAAGACCAACTACAAGGTTTACGGCATTCACACCTCAGTACCCCAATCCTCCGATAGCCTACCCATCTCTCCTCAGAACGAAGCAACCAACTGGGAAGTTCTTGGCAGCCCGGGGGCTTCATCGCGCGCTCCATCCTCTACCCACGGCAACTGGGAAGTTCTAGGTACCTCTTCGCCCGTATCGCCAGGTGCATCTTCCCTCGCTCAATCAAACTGGAGAGTTGTCGGGGATTCGCCGGTCGCTGCATCTCCTTCCGTTCGGTCGATTTGGGAAGCGCAAAGCGAAGCCTCCCGCCTTCCATCGGGGACTTCCCGCGTTCCATCAGGCCCGGCTAACTGGCAAGTTATCGGTGCTTCCTCGCCGACTGCCCCACCTTCTGCTAGCCCACCCGGAAGCTCAGAGAGCAACGAGAACTTCGTCGTACACTCCCGCTCGACGCCGTCTTCTGTAGCCACCGGTGGCCGTTATTCACAAGAAAGTCTCCGCGTCCCACCGCTCAGGCCAGCCAAGAAGAGGTCCCAGGAAAAGTTTGGATATTACAAGCAGCGATCGCGTGAGAACCTTCGAGCCCGCTCCACCTCCTTTCAAAGCGTTTCCTCGATCGGAGCCCCACCAGTACCGCCTCTTCCGGCCATACTCACGCCTCCGGTCCTTTTTCGCTTCCCGACGTCCTCCAGGGAGCAAACTTCATGGTCGGTACCATCCCCATCCGGGTCATCGGCCGGCTCCTCCTCCGGTCAAGAAACTGTCATCATCCACCGTCCACCACCGATGACCCAGTCACCACCAGATCGATGGAGCTCACAGTTGTCTACGGTTATGTCCGAAGACGAATACGGCAGCGAGCCAGGCTCTTCACGCCCTGTGTCCCACTCCGTCATGGGCAGCCAGCACCGTTACCGCAACAGCACTGGCGGGTGGGGTGGTTCCACGCACAGCCGTCAGATGCAGAGTATTTCGTCGTCCCTCGCAGCACCTCCTGAAAGTGCCGGAAGTGACAGTGTCGCCAGGCCCCAGGCTGCCCATTCTCGAGGTGGTTCCCTGCCGATTCGCATGGTTCGTGACCAAGATGAGCACGGTGATGGAATTGCAGATCTGCATTCTCACCCTTCAAGATCAGGCTTGTCCTCGTTTCTCCAGCATAGCAGCAGCACCTCGAGCGGGAGCCGTAATCTTCATTCGAGCCATAGCCACCGCTCGCGCCCGTCCCGGGCCAACAGCTTCACGAACTCCATTCCTGCCTGGGCAAGGGTCTACTATGGATCTGGCGAACACCGCTGGGCCGGTCTGCTGTCCTCGTCCGCGTCAGACGCTGGTGACAGCCGCCCGAGCTCTGCTATTGGACACAGTGGATCGCCAAACTCCGACAACTTCCCTATGGAACTTTTTAGCCCCCGCAAGCGCGCGAGAGAAGGCCAACGCAACTCGGATGGCTCCATGGAGATCCAACCTGCACCAACAGACCATAATGTTTTCCGTACACTCAGGGAAAAGACTTCCAGCATCTGGTCCCCACACCTTCGACAGGACCGCCGCCACAGCCGTTTCGATGTCTGGGATCCTCCCACCACGAGCTGGTCTGCTGATAGCGGCGTCACTGGCAAGCGTAACATCCAGATTGTGCTCTTTGCTCTTGGATTCATCATGCCTTTTGGTAAGTTGCCTCGTAATGGCGATGGATCCTTTGTTTTTCACCTTTTGCTAACCAGATGTGTTGTATATTAGCATGGATGATTGCTGCCTTTCTCCCGTTGCCCCCTAACCCAAAAAGCGAGATGCTTGAAAAGGGTACCCACAGCCCCGAAGACCCCTTTGACCGCTCAAAGTCGAGGCTCGGATTCAGAACTTCAATCAACCCCATCAGCCCTATGGAGGAAGCGAGATATCTCAGCGCGCGTTGGTGGCGAAGACTCAACACTGGTATGTCCTTTGTCGGAGTAATAATCATTGGCGCCGTCATCGCTCTCGCCGTCATCGGCTCCCAACAAGGCTGGACGGACTGAACTACATGATAGAATCTTCTTTCATCAGGTTCAATGTCCGTCGACACTCGCCCGCTCACATTTTTTCAGCGACTTTCTTCCTTTTCTGTCTCGATAACTATAGACACGATCTTTTGGATTTTGGGAAAACCCACTTTTTCCGGAATCGGCGGGAGATCTTTGACGAATTACACGACGACATATCATCATCATTAACTAACTATTGACGATAATTTTGTGGCACGCCTGAAACGGTTTCTTCAACGCTGTCTTTCTCTCTTTTACACCAACGCACGCGTCTCGGTCAATCAAAAAGCTTATAGATCTCTTTCGATATCTCGAACGCCGATGAAGACACACATATCACAACGCCTTTCAGCGACTTGATGACGAAATCTTCTTTCCTCGCGGACGGATCTCTCTCAATATCATCATTGGCATTTTCTCTCTTTCTTTTTCTATATGGGCTACATACGATGGGGCGGAGTTATTTTTTATGCGCTTCGCAAAGTACTTGAATACCCTTTTTCGACTTTTACATAATGGGGCAAGGGCAATTGTGGAAAAGAGGACGGGAGGCGCGGGGTGAGTGTTTGGTTGTAGGTGATTACGCAGGCAAAAGTTGCAGGATGAAGAAGGGATAGATACCCATGGTGTTTGTTGGTTACGTTGTACGTTTACGAGTTGGATGGATAGGATGAGCTGGGTACATTTTACACTTACCCATCACCGCCACCTCAATGCAAAAAAAGTTACCTTTACATGATGCAAACTTCTTTCGTCTACCGCCATGTTATAAGGTGCTATTTGAAAGTCTTTCTGTAGACTCACATCGTTCTATCCAGCCAATGGAAAGAATGATTTCGGCTCCTAGCAAAAATCTTACATAGCTACAACTCACACTCAAAGTCAAGCATGAACCTGTTGACAACGAAATCTATACTACTAACTGGATATACCCATGAGACCCAACCCACCACGTCAAATCTCCCTCTTCCAGGCATCAACAAACCAAAAAAAAGTAAGTACAAAGAGAAGCACAAAACCCCCTACAGAGAACCAAAAAGGAAAATAACAGAATGCTCCGCATACAAGGATGGCAAAACTAGAGACAAGAAAAAAAGAGAATGTATGACAAGAGTGGGATTCGAACCCACGCCCTTTCGGACCACGGATATGAGATTTAACTCAGATTAAGGGTTAACCTTAACGTGGCGCCTTAGACCGCTCGGCCATCTTGCCTTCTGATTGGATGATATCCAGAAACGGTAGAATGAAATTATGAGGGGCATAGGTAAAGCGCAGATTCCGTACTGAATGATTACAGTGAATACCATGGTTGGACTTCGGTCACCACCAGAAAGAAAACGGGGAGAGTACATGGATGGTAGATTATATGCTATTGACATGGAAATATCTTTGTACCGGAATTATAGGGAAAACATCATGATGCAAGCAACAGAGGCTTCGCTTCCTCTTACTCCTGACGCGATGCAGTGCAAAAAAAAGTTCGTTTTGCTCTCGCGTCAACTCCCCAGACTCCAAACGCAGTATCCCCTGAACATCAACCCCTCCGGGAAATGTGTCTCACTAGATCCCACCTTCTATAGCATCCCCCTTTCCGATACAAATGCCACTTCTTACCCACCATCTTGATCTATCAATCAATCAATCACACGGCTCTCTTCCTAGCCTCCCCCCTCAACGAATCCCTTAAGCCCGTCGCACTAAACGCGCCACCACCAACTCTGCTCTCCATCTCCTTCTTGAACTCCTCCAGCGCCTCATCTAGCTCCCCCTGAGGATCACCACTGATACCCAGCATCGGGCTCCTCGACTGGCTATCCGTGCTCTCCGCCCTGCTGGACGGCCGGTTCAGGTTCTCGCCAAGCAAAGCCATGGTCTCCATGGCACACTGCGCGGTAGTACTGCTTGTCTTCTCGTCACTGATGCTGCTGCGGCCACGGCCGCGTCCACTAGAAGAAGAAGAAGAAGAATAAGCAGGGGCGACAACGCCTGCCTTGGCGTTCCTCTTCTCCAGAGTCTTGCGCAGCCACTTCTTTCCTGGGCTGGAGAAGAAGGCCAGGGCAACGGCGGTGTGGATGATGGCGTAGAAGTAGACGCGCGACCAGGCGGTGATGGATTCGTGGAAGCCGAGTACCAAAAAGGGGCAAACGGCAAAGTTGAAGGTGAGTTGGGTGGTGAGCCAGGAGGCGAGATCGTACCACTTTTTGGAGGGAAGGGGCGCTTGGGTCTTGGGATCGAGGAAGAAGGGGCGAATGTTGCGGCGGACGTCTGCAGACCAAAAAAAAAAGCGGTTAGTCAGGAATTCCAAACAAAACATGTATCGATAGGGGATGGGGGGACATACTCTTCGCAGCAGCCTGGATGAAGCTCGCCAGGACAAAGGACAGGTAGTAGCCAGGATAGAACCCGTGCCAGAAAGCGCTGGTGGTGAATGTAGCCAAAGTGGCGCCAAAACCAGGTTTCTTGCCACGGGGAGTGACACGCAGGTAGACGTAGTTGCGCAGCCACTTGCTGGTGTTGATGTTCCAGTTATCGAGGTACGCCTTGGTGTTTTGCGCAGTCTCCATGCCCATCGGACGGATGTTCTGGAGCCTATCCCAAGACACCTTGCCCGTGGCAGGATCAACGCCGTTGAAGCCCAAGCCGCTAAGAATGCATGCGCCTTCCGTCATCATCCAGACACCATAGTACTTGGCGCGCGCCGTGATACCAACCATGTGCAGGAAGAGAAGGCGGACGAGGAAGTTGTGGCTCACGAAGCTGTCTCCAAGGAGAGACTCGGGCGAGAACCAGGTAGAGAGCCAGATGAAGAGCAGGAGCCAGGAGAAACCGGTAACGAGCTTGATCATGGCTGGAGTACCGCTGCGGGGGATCTTGCGCTTGCGTCTGGTGGGAGGCTTCTTGGCAGGATCGACAGACTTGGGAATGTCGAACATGGTGGTGTCGAGCCATCGGCGGTACTCGGCGAAGTCAAAGGCGGGTCCAATCATGAGACTGGGGAAGAAGAAAACATATCCAAAGTAGTCCAACAGGGACGGCAACTCCTTGAGCCGTCTGTCCTTCTGAAAGTCGGAGAGGTGATCTTCAGGAAGAACACCGTCGGCCACATTCCAGCAGAAAGCGCTGAGCTTCATGACGAGCACCATCTGCGCTCCTGTGATATCGATTGTGCTCGGGTCATTGAGGCGTTGGCGCATAATGTGGTTGATGCTCATATGGCCCATGAGGAAGACGAAGCCGATCCATGGCATGTAAGGGGAGCCCCGGAGGAACTTTGCGATCGAGTACACGCCAATGGAGGAGATTAGGACGGTTCGGAGGCCGACCCATAGGTCGAAGAGGCCGACGAGGTAAAAGACGCCAATGCTGCGAAGGAAGGCACGTTAGATCTGGTTCCGTCTTGTGGTATATATAGCTCTAAATCATCGTGCTTGACCTCGAGTACTGACACACCTTAGACAAAAGAAGTTTTTGAGATGAGGTCGGTTATCCGGTATCCTCTTCAGTAGGCCAGCAAGTGGGTAGGACAAAAAGAAGGAAAAGATGAGCTTGACTGTTTGGAGGACGGGGTTAGCAACAGTCAGAGCCATGTTGCAAGGTCACAAGCCGCTTACGCTCATCCGGGCTGGTCCCGATCTTGCTGCCCAAGTAGGCAAAGGCTGGCAAAGAAGTCAGTGTTAGCAACAAGTCGAAGGCATGATCCGAGGAGCAATGCGGCCGTACGAGTATGTATAAAAGGTATCATGCTGAAAATGTATGATGGCTCAGATCGCGCGTCGGCGTGTGAATAGGACAGGAGATTGTGCAATAATTCGACGCTTCTGCTTCTGCCTGGGCGCTACTTCATTGCACGCCAGTCGGAGGTGGGCAACGTTGAATGTAGGTCGGCCTTCTCACGTCCGCGGGAATGCGAATCAACGCCAGTCGGTGCGGATTGCAGGTTGCAAGATGGCGTGCAGGGAACGATGAACTGGCGTCCAGTAGCGAATTTTATAGTTTTGCATCGGTCAAGGAAGTACACGTTAACAAATATGCAAAGGACCGGCTAGGTATGCTTAGCGACCAAAATTTAATCAAAAAAGTGATCAAGAAGTAGAGCCGAAAAGGGCCAGGAACAATTGGATACATAATCACACTGTCTATTTTCGTAGTTTCGTTTTCGTCTGAAGATTGCTTCAGAGCGAGTCGAACTGCCGGTACTTGGTGGCTTCCATCGCTTGGGATTGCTCACCAATTTGTTGTGACATCACCGGATGTTGAGCGCAAAAGTTCGTGCACGAGCCCCACCTCTTTGTAACAACTGAAGCCTGCCGCCATGTGAAATCGGTTGGGCATGATCCCAGATCCGTCACCTGGAGTGTATAAAGCTTTACGCTAGATATGTTTGGCTCCCAGTCTGGGTGGTCTCATAGTCTTGATGATAGTGGTCTACCATGGGAACATATCGTTCAATGAGATGGAACAGAAGACCTTCTGTCCATATCAACTGCCTCACACAGCTACGTTGCTGTTGTGATGAATGCAACCCACACTCCCTGGTTCAGAATCATTTCCATGGGCAGGGTTAGGGTTGTTTCGTTACATTCACATGGTAGGTAGGCCGTAGAGGTACTCATGGTGCCGTGGCCCATGTAGACACTGGTGACAGCCCTTCGACGCTCTTCTCTTTTGATCGCTACATCATCTAAAACGATGCGGCACTGATACAATAGTACTACATATGTACGTGGGATAGCATCTGCAATCTGCAATGGTGACCGCCTAAGCAGTTGCGATTTAGCGGCAGCAACTCCTCTGCCACGGAATTTCGTCAACGTGACAGCGTTTTCGAGGTTCTGCTTTCACATCTTCTGGAAATTATTAAGATCCAGCTTGTGGCCGTATTCGAAGTATATGATGACACCATCTAAGGCGAATGATTTCTCTCTCGGAGTGTCCTCGGGGTTGTTGTCATAGCGTTCGAGGACATAAGTGCCTGTTCGCGCTACCGACAGTCCCATGGCGGGCTGTAAGATCCCAAAACAAACCAAGGGCAGTTAAGTGAGAACCACTCTTCAATCTCGTGTTCCTTAGCCCGTTCGGAAACGGTATGCTCATTCAGGGCATAGAACCGGGCATAGAACCAGGCATTGACCCGGCTCCGGGAAACTCCTCGTCTGCCCTCGGGCGATGCCTGTATCTTAGCGAGTCTGGCACTCTATCGGCTCCCCCATGCGCTTCAGCCTCAATCTCTTTCCGGGCCTCCTCTCTTACGTCCTTAGCAATATCGACTCCCTTGGCCTTGCTCATAGACCTTTCCACATCTGAGATGGTCTCATCGCCGCCACGAGTATTCTTCTTGCGAGGCCACATGTTAGGCAGAGCAATCTCCTGGAACCTGGGCTCCACACAGCGCTCATCAAACCACCGATGGAGACGTGATTCGACGAGCTGTGCAATCTTGGGGACATCCTGCAGTCTTGAACGACTCCCCAAAAGACTGCGGATAGAAAAGTCCAGGCGATAGTCATCGAGAAAGGTAAAGATCATCTTCGCGGGTTCATTGTTGGACGGGTTGCTGGGAATGAACGAAATGGACAGTGTACCGCTGAACCTAACAACTGAAACAGCCAGGGCCACAGGGAGAACGGCGCTGAGCCTCTTGGGATAGTTGAGCAACAACTTTGTCTCTACCGCCAGGGTGATCATATCACTAAGATCAACGTCCATTCTGGCTTGGAGACGCGCGCCTTCTCTCGTGGCCATGTTGGCGTCGAAGGCCTTGCCGGTTCCAAAGCTAAGGCCATCTTCGTCCACCGGAATGATGCGGCAGTTGCTGAAGATGGGGAAGTCTTCGCCCAGGCTAAGTTCTGTAACCTTGATCTCGTCGAGGAAGTCGGGTCGGGCGGTGCCGTTGAGCGCCTTGCTCAGAGAGGAGAGAATCGCATCGTCGTGTTGGGCATCACTGCGGAATTGGGCGATGGTTTGGGCGATCAGCACGTTGAACCAGTCGAGACTTTCTGGTTGATGGCTGTCGACCTTGTAATATGTTTTGCTAAGAATAGACCCGATGGTCAAGGTGGGAGGACCAGGGCGCAGAACATGCTTCTTGTTTAGAGCTGGGTTCTGCACCAGCTGGAGCGCGTTGGTTTCTCGAAGGCTGAGGATTGATTTCTTGTGTGCCAACGTTCGCGATCTTCGGTCGGTGGCGCGGATGGAGGCGACGACTTCGGGCGAGGGAGGATCACCAAAGATGAAGAACTTGATGAAGGCGGCGAGCAAGAGCACCACCGAGAGCTGGCCGAGGATGAGACCCTGCGTAAACGACAGGCTGTTAGACGTGGTTGTTCGTCAGTCAGTTGGTTGTGAGAGTCGGGCGCGAGGGGGATAGTTGTTGATTTGAATGATTTGGACTTACGTAGGCTCCGACCTTGATGGGCAAACGTCGGCCATCTTCTTGGGGTTATCGAGGGGAAGAAAGCATCTGTCCGTTCGATAGGTGTTCGGAGAGCAGCTTTGGCTGCGTCTGCATTTCCAAAAAGATGGAATGGAACCAGCAAGGTTCCAATCATTTACTAGTGATCCTTATCTTATCGACACCTTTGGTGACGTCCATCGCACAGGCCAGGGTTAGAGGTACCTAGGTAGGTACATCAAGGTACCTGTGGAAGATGCACTGCAGCCGCAGCCCCCAGGCATCGCGACTTGCACATGTAACCCTCCCGTGCCTCACCTCCCCCGGTTCCCCCCTCCATCAACCCTGAGCTTGACAACAGCTCGACCTTCTTGTCATCCAAACAACAAAGCTTCCATTGAGCACCATCTTATCTTTAACTGCTAATAATTCCTCACTGATTTTCTTCACGTGCTCGGCCCTAAGTTCGAAGACACTTCGGGCTTGGATCAAAACAACATAAGGTGCCAATCCGCTAGAGCCCCATAAGTCATTGGCCGGCTCAGGAGTTCGGGACTAGGAGAGGACTTGTAAAAGCGCAGGACGTGACGCCTAATAACTCAAAATTGGAACCTAAAATCACAGCATTTACTCGCCCAAGATGGATCTGATACAGGCAGCATCCGGTTATGTGACCAAGATGGTGACGGTCGGTGAAAACGCCGGAACTGCCGCTGCTCCATCAGCCAAGATGAAGATGCTCTTGCTGGACAAAGACACCGTTCCCTGTATCTCAGCTGCCGTCACTGTATCAACCCTTCTCAACCATGAAGTCTACCTTACCGATCGGTTGGACAATGCTAAACGGGAGAAGATGAGACACATGCGCTGTCTCTGCTTCGTCAGGCCACATCCCGACACCATCGGCCTGTTGATTGACGAGCTACGAGACCCCAAATACGGAGAATATCACCTTTACTTCAGCAACATTGTCAAAAAGTCGGCGCTTGAACGGCTAGCAGAAGCCGACGATCACGAGGTTGTCAAGGTGGTGCAGGAATACTTCATGGATTATGTTGTCATCAACACCGACCTGTTCTCGCTCAACATGTCCCTACCTATGAATCGGATATGGAGCGGCAATCCCGATACCTGGAATACCGATTCCTTGCAACGGTGTACCGAAGGGGTTATTTCGGTTTTGTTATCTCTCAAGAAGAAACCTTTGATCAGGTACCAGAAGAGCAGCCCTCTGGCTAAGAAGCTCGCATCCGAAGTTCGATACTGCATGACCCAGGAGGACCAGCTATTCGACTTTCGCAAGGTCGACACACCACCCATTCTCTTGATACTGGACAGGCGAGAGGACCCCATCACACCGCTTCTCACACAATGGACATACCAGGCCATGGTACATCATCTGCTTGGCATTCACAATGGGCGAGTCGATCTCAGTGATGTCCCCGAAATCCGTGCCGAGCTGAAGGAGATTGTCCTCTCACAGGATCAAGATCCTTTCTTCCAGAAGAACATGTACCTCAACTTCGGTGACCTAGGCGGCAACATCAAGGAATACGTGTCACAGTATCAGTCCAAGACCCAGAATAACGCCAACATCGAGTCCATCTCCGACATGAAGCGGTTCATCGAAGAGTATCCCGAGTTCAGGAAGCTCTCCGGAAACGTCAGCAAACACGTAACCTTGGTCTCCGAGCTAAGCAGAAGAGTTGGTGCCCAGAGCCTACTTGAAGTTAGCGAGGTTGAGCAGAGTTTAGCTTGCAACGATAACCATGCTGCCGATCTCAAGGTAAAGCTGAAATCAACCTGCTATCCTCCCATGGCCGTATACTAATCCCCATCCAACCTCACAGAACATCCCAAGACTAATCCAATCCCCCACCGTAACCCCCGACAACAAAGTAATTCTCGTCGCCCTCTACGCCCTCCGCTACTCCAAATCACCCTCGAGTCAACTGCCCATGCTCGTTGACCTCCTCTCCGCTGCCGGCGGCGTTCCCACCCGTCGCACCGACCGCGTCGCCAAGCTTCTGGCCTACCACTCCTCCCTGCACGCGACCACCGGTGGCTCTGGTGGTGGCGTAGGCGGCATCGCGGACATTTTCGAGTCTACGGGTATCTTCGGCGGCGCCGGCAACCGGTTCAAGGTACTCAAGGGCGTCGAGAACGTGTACACGCAGCATTCGCCCTTACTGGAGACAACACTGCAGAGCCTGGTCAAGGGCAAGCTGAGGGAGCAGCAGTACCCGTTTGTGGATGGCGGGGGTTCGACGAGGGATAAGCCACAGGATATTATTGTGTTTATCATTGGGGGAGCGACCTACGAGGAGGCAAAGATGGTGGCGGAGATTAATGCGAGTGTGCCGGGGGTTAGGGTGGTGTTGGGCGGTACCACGGTGCATAATGCGCAGAGTTTCCTGGAGGAGGTGGAGGATGCTGTTGGGGGGTGGCCGGAGCAGGTGGCACAGGGGAGGAGGTAGGACACAGGGTGAGGAGAAAGAACAAAAAGGAGAGGCGGTAATTTGCGGAAGAGAAGCGAGGCAGGATCGTATTATTACGACCTTGGTGGGATACTTGGTGCTGGTAAAGAACTCTAGATACAGACACCTATATACGTGCTTCGATGACTTGCCTCTATTTCTCTAGTTATCCATCTATTTGTACGTCATCACCACCCATCGCCACTTTATATCCAAGCAGACAGCCCTTTTCTTCCTCAACCCTCAACTTAGACAAGAGTAACACTATCCATACACCCATAACCCGCTGCCACGCCTCCCTCCTCACTCTTGTCCCCCTTCGTCCTCAACAAATATCCGGCCTCCTCATTGAACTTGATTTCCCCACTGCTTTGATCCCACAGACAAGTACCATAGACACCCAATTCGCAAATGACGCCCCCCACTTCTACCTTGCCGTTCCTGAGAATACTGTTCGCCAGCGCAGGCGGCTCGATGATCTCCATGAGAATAAACGAGTTCCAGTGCTCCTCGGGGATTTTGGCCAGTTGCTCCGGGATCGCCGACCGGTAGAAGTTGTTGCCTCCGCCCTCGCGCTGCGGCTTCATCACGTATTTCTGGCATTGAGTGGGGGAAGTGGCAAGGGAGCGGGCGTGCAGGCCGGAAGAAGAGGTATCGAGAGGGTAGATATTTGTAAAGGTCTTGAGGAGGCGCTGGGTCTTTTCCGAGGTGGGAGGCATGAATTTGGCCAGCGCGGAGGGAACCGAGTTGGTGTTGCTTTCCTCCGGGGTGGCCAGGACTTGCTGCACTTTCTTCATGCCCGCCAGCTGCGTGAGAACGGTAGGACAGCAAACGGCGTTGGACCGCTCGATCTGGTAGCGCGCCTCCCACGCTTCTTGGGAAGGGTAGTCACCGGGGCCGTAACCGGCACGGAGGTAGACGACGGCTACTTCGAAGACCAGGGAAGGGTTACTGGGGAGAGTGTAGAGGAGCTGGCGGGTGGGGGTAGAGGCGAGGGTGGTGTGGGTGAGGATGTCGGAGAAAGGGAGGCGGAAGACGGGGACTTTGTTAGGGCCGGATGAGGAGAGGGCGTATTCGAGGTGTCGCTGGTCAAAGACGTTGCGCTCACCGGACTGGGTGAGGAAGAGGACGCACGTGGGATGGCCGAGAGTGGAAGAGCCGTAAGCGTCGAAGGCGGCGCGGAGACCGGCGGCGAGACCGGCGGCGGAGTCGTTGGATGGAAGGTCGAGGTTCGAGGCGGAGGAGGAAGAGGAGAGGAGAGGGTACTCATGCTGGGCGAGGTGTTTGTGCAGGAGGGAGGTCTGAGTGGACAGGCCACCAAAGGAGGAGGCGATGGTGTTGAATTCAACTTGCTTGATTTGCAGGGAGGCGTCATCTTGGTGCACCATGTAGTCGGAGCGGAAGAGACCTAAAGCGAGGTTCTGTCGATGGTGGGTGATTAGCATGAACTTGATTCAAAGGTTGAGGGTCCTATGATGTTGTAGCTGCTTACTTGGACATAGCCTTCCTTCTTCACACGGAGGTGGACGTTCCATAAGTTGGCAATGAACTCGTCGCCGCCAGCAACCCTTGAGGCTTGTCAGTGAAAATGAAAATCCTCTACTGTCGATGAAACGTACTCCTTGACCATCTCTGTGAGGAACTCCTCATCCTGGCTAATAAGAGCATAAAGCTCGTTGTATGTAGTCTGAATAGCCTTTGCCTCCTCAAAGCAGCTCTTGGGGAAGGGGCTGGGAAAGAGGGTAACGGGCGCACTTGTGGCGAGGATGCCTTCGGTGTCGTTACCGGCGATGGCAGGTGGTGGGCGAACAGTGAGGCCGTGGGCTACAGTCCAGTCCTTGACGACTTGCACAAGTCGTTCCTTTTCGGCATCTTGGAGAACGGGAGGGTATGAACCCTGAGTAATGGAAGACATTGTGGCTCTTGTTTTTAATATTCTGGGATGTTGTTAGTTGAAATGCTTGGTGTAGATAAATTGAGGGGTCACTAATGAGTGAAGCAACTAGAGTGAATGGCATCATTTTCGAGGGAGGTTGTGAAAAACAACTTCCTCGACCCTTTGTGTGTTGAGCTAAGGGTTGCTCATGAAGCTCGACAGCTTCAGTGCGTCCACGAAGTTGAGCATGTCAAGACTTACTTTTTCTGCGAGTTTACACCAGCTGAAATGCAAAGGATGCTGCAGTGAAATGGGATGGATGATGGATGAAGCCGTCTGCAGAGGTGAGGACCGGTGCTAAAGCGAGTCTCAAGTGGAAGTATACTATAGAATGGTGGGGCGCTGTCACTGTCAAATGTCACGGAACTGCGGGTTCAGTGTCGAGAGACGCAGCAACATGCGGCGTGAAGTTGTTTGTTCTCTTAACACTTTGGCCGACTGGCTAAATAAATGTGATCCTTTGAGATGGAACGTATTGATTATGTCTTCAACCCAGTTCTATCCGTCAAGATGAATTTGTAAGCTTCTAGAGGTATCTTTTCTTGACATGGGATGGTTGTTACAAACGTACCGGCCACAAATACCCCATTATCTACCGTACCTACCGGTACCCCTCATTCAGTGCAGGAGATGCCGATTTGGCAGGTACCACTGAGAATTTCCGACATGAGATTGTATCTTATATTTTACCAGGCACCATACAGATTTCTTACCTACCTACGCCATATTACCTCTAGGCCTCAGCATCAGAAACAGCTGACTCGAATATTGCTTAGAATATTTGAAAATGGATAGGCGCAACTTGTCCCTTTGAAAATGCGAGGATAAGACGAAGAGTGAGTTCGCCTTACATATGAGTACGTCCGAACCGCTCACATTGTGCTGTGTGTAATTAACATTTTGCTGTATGTAGTACACCATCGTTACCCAAACTATTGAAATTGTGCAGCCATCTATGTACTAGTAGTGTAGTATTGCCCAACAGATAACGTGACTTCGCGTTCCGCGTGTCTGAAACCTCAGCAACGATGACCGCCCGAGCGAGGAGACTCCAAGGTTCCCCGCCGTCCCGTCCCGTCTGGCAAGACCCGTCGGCCAGACTTTATCCAGACATCACCGCAACTTCAACTTTGTATAACGCATCCGGCCATCGATGCTATCAGCCGCGCGCAAGCTGCTTCAAGGCGAGGCATCCGACTGTGTAAGACGAGGATTATCAGCATATGCTCTCATCACCGGCGGGTAAGTTTGATTTTGAACATGTTCATCGCGGTCACATCAATCCGCCTCTGATTGTTTAGGTCAAGGAAACCTAACCCCCGTCCATTTCCCCGATCCACCTTCACCTTGTTTTTAATGATCGCGACACCGAGCAGGCAGTCAACAGCAACGGCTATTGCGTGTCGCAATTTCACATTTTATCCCAATCGAACATCGTATCAAACATCGCCTTTAATCACGGCCCCCAATGTCATCGCCAACGGCAGGTCTTCCTCCTGGGCCAAATGACGTCCGTTTGAGTTTCTGTTTCATCCAGAACCTATTCCCCCCCCCCCCCTCCCTTCCCCCGCCACAACCAAAAACATCTCACTTATTACAATGTAATAAACTGCAAACTCGGTCTCAAAGTTCGATTTAGCGCTCGAATCCTCAGTTTGCTCAGGGCACCTCCAGTCAGGAACCCTTCACGGCTCGTTTTGTCACAGCTTTCTGCATTTCCCCGCAATATATATTTATATAATTTTTCCTTTGTTTTTCTTCATCATCATCATTCCCATCATCATCTTGCCCCTCCGCGGAAGTGATCAGGATCTTAGCGCCTTGAGCAGACACCCAGGAATATCTCTCCATACGCGCTTTCGAAGGACGAAATCGCTTACTAAACGCCAACATTAGGACCACCGTCAAAATCGCCATGAGCCAACTCAGTTAACGATACTAAATTGCAAATTTCTCAGCTTTTCATCAAGCGGCAGCATAATTATCAACCCCCAAAGCAAAGGAGTGAACATCCAAGTCATTGATCCAACACAGATTGCTTTCACACTTGTAATGCTCTCCTTTCTACTCGTATAGGTATCCTTGGTGTGATACTAATGACCGCCTCTAGCAGCATCAGAAACCCGTTTAGCGCCTACGCAATGGCCGAACTCAACGAAAATGAACCGTTCCACTGGGATGTCGAGCGGGTGGTCAAAGAGCTATGCACCCCGGAGCGTACATGGGATGCGCCTGCTCCGCATAAGCTGCCCGACCCTGAACGCCTTGCATTTAAGCTGCGCGAACTCGACATCGATGGAGAGACACTCTTGATGTACCCAGACGAATACGGTTGGCCCACGTTTTGGGAAATGCTAGGCATAAAAAAGCTTGCCCACCATTTATCCATCGGAAAAGCCATCAAACAGTTTAGGGAGACCAGTACTCTTTACTATCGACAAAAGAGGGATATCGACCTTCCGAAAGGTCTGCTGAGTACGACTCCGGCCATCAAGCCGGATCCTCTGGATCCCTCTGAGCCGACACCTCCTCTTGTCGATAATTCCATCCCAGAGCCAACTGCCGCGGCGATCGATGGCCCGGTCTCTGAGCCAAGTCCTGCGGGAGTCGGCAATGCAGCTACGGATGCAAGTCCTGCTATAGTCAACAACACAGCTGTGGAAGCGAACTCTGTTATGCTCAATGATGCCGCTTCCGAGCCAACTCCTGGTGTGGTCAGCGCTCCCGCTTCTGAGACCGCTTCTGTCATGACAGGTTCTGCTGCCGTCGCGCCGACGCCGATGGAGGGTGTCATTTGTCATCACGCCGCCCCTGCAGAGCAAGCGCAGGATGTTCAAATGTCCGGTATTCCTGACCAGTCACCAGAATCACCAGAGAAGCGCGGTTTAGGCAACGGCCTTCGGCAAGATACCGAGGAGGCCTCCAGGGACCCGGAGCGCCCTCTTAAAAAGAGGAGGATTGCTCCCACCATTGTATCGACAGTTGCCCCAGCTCAAGCGAGGTCATTTATCCCCACAGAAGGTGACATGTTCTACCACCCTTTGCTCGATATTCCATCCTCTCAGACTGGAGCCTCTCAGACTGGAGCTTCTTTCCGTTCAGCTACCCTTCCAACGAGCACCTTTCTTTCCGATGCCAATTTTGATCGGTTTTTGGACGTCGAGGATTCAAAATTCAGTTATCTTGGGTCTTCCGCCTTGCGCTCCGAGGACATTGCAAGCCTCCCGTACAACTTTGAGTCTGATGACGACGGCGACGACAAGGAGGCTAGTGAGGAGTTCACTTGGGTCAGGTCTGGTGCGGTACCACCAGCGCGTGCCCTACAAGTGGCTCGGGTGATGAGAAAATTCTTCCGTAAACGCAGCCCTTTTGTGAATGAGGATGAGGAGGTCGTCTTGGACTTTGGAGAGGACGATGACGGCATGTCGGTGGATTCAGAAACATACCGAGAGTATGAACAGGAGGAGCAAGAACGGAAAGCTCACCAAAGCATGCACGGGTCTCCACGGCTCAGTAAAGTGCAGGCTGAGGAGGCCATAGAGGATGCTATCCAGAGACTGGAAGTCAGTTGGGAAACGATCAAGAAGCCCAAATTCGAAAGACGGGCCTGGAAGATATGGCAAGACGCCCGGCGAAACCGTACCCGTCTAAGCCTCATCACCTTCGCGAAAAACCAGCTCAGAAGCCTCGAAGTCCGACTTGGAAATATGAAAAACGAGCTTTTGAATCAGAAATGGTTCAAAGAGGACAAAATCGAGGCCAAAGCTGAAGGGTTTTTGGAGGAGAGTGTCTATGACAGAAAATACCAAACTTGGCTTCTTAACTTGCTCGAGAACCCTCATGAGCCGCCCAAGCCTTCGACGCTTCCCAGACTAAAGCCGGAACCCAAGAAAGAGAGAGAGACACTTGCAAGCGACGAAGAACTCTTAACGAGCGATTCTGAAGAAGAAGACCAGTTTATCGAGGATGATCTTTCGTCAGTAGATCACATGATCATTGACCCAAAGGAAACTATTCCATCTACCCGACCTAGCACGCCTGTCCGCCCCTTGAACCCATCGACAGAAACAAACCACATACCGGAAGAAGAAGAAAATACCATTGCTCAACCCTCTACGGTTGATGACGAGACAGGGGCAGTGAATAAGGTTGAACCAACAACACCTCAACGCATAATTCATACAATCCCAGCAGAACCTATCGAAATCTTGTCCTCACCATCCGACGTGGACCAGCTTGCCAATCTTCCTCCTCTCACTGATGTTGATACCATCGGCAAACTTGGAACGCAGTTCTGGGCAAAGCACAGGGACGGCGAACGTCTTGTGATTGCCGCTCTCTGGAGCTGGTCACCTTTGCGACAGTCGGAAATTTTTGACACCATTCAAGATCGCGGAGACAAAGAGACATGGAAAGAGCATATCCAACCACTCATTGACCGAGCCGCTACCGGGATCTCTAGGATCGATGTCGACCCGGACTCGATCAGCCTCATTCTGGCCCTTTTGTTTCTCACATATTCTGACTTTAGCGAAGGACGACTCAAGATTAGATCGACTACCCTTCGTTGCGTTACCTGCCAAAAGCTCAACCGGGAATATTTGCGGTTTGGAGAGTTTTTCGAATTTTTGCAGAATTGCATTCGCTATTTTCGATCCGAGCCCAAGTCACCCACTCCAATGGAGATGACCTCCGCTGAATCCCCGGAGGCAACTCAAGATATACCTATGGATATCACAAGCGAGTCTGAGCATATGGATACAGACTTGGAGGAGCTGTCCTCCCAGTTCCCTCTGTCATCTGCGAAGAAAGGCCGACGACCCAAACATGACGAAAAGGCCAAAAAGCTCCGAGTCGATTCCAAGGCATTGTTGAAACAAATGGACGAACGCCGTAAACTATTGCGGGCTAAACTTGCCGAAACTGGATCAGTACCGAGTGACAAGTCACGTCTCATCATCAACGAAACCAAAGAATCCGACGACCTTCCTTTGATCTACGTTCATGAGGAGATTGGAGGGAGAATTAAGGACCATCAAATAGACGGTGTCCGCTTCATGTGGGACCAGATCGTGGTTGATTCAAACTCACGCCAGGGGTGCTTACTTGCCCACACCATGGGTTTAGGCAAGACGATGCAAGTTATCACCTTGCTGGTTGCCATTGCTGAGGCATCCCAATCCGACGACCCTCGGGTAGTTGCCCAGATCCCCAAGGACCTTCGGGTTGGTAGACCCTTGATTCTCTGCCCTTCTGGTTTGGTTGAAAATTGGATCGACGAAATCTGTAAATGGGCGCCAAAAGACATCTTGGGGAATATCACCAAGATCGATGCGGCGACGGTGCCACCCAGCGAGCGGGTTCTGCTCATCAAAGGATGGGCGCGGTCTCGAGGCGTACTAGTCATGGGCTACGAATTGTTCAGGTCTCTAGTCTCAGGAAAGGAAGACAACGTGGCTGAACTGCTACACAGTTCTCCATCGATTGTGATCTGCGACGAGGCTCATCGGTTCAAGAATAAGACTTCCAAGTTGTACGCCGTAGTCCAAGACTTCCACACCATGAGCCGTATTGCCACGACGGGATCACCTCTGACCAGGAACGTAATGGATTACTATTCCATGATCAACTGGGTAGCTCCCAACTACCTGAGTGATGTGGGAGAGTTTAACCAAAAATACGCCGAACCCATCAGCGCGGGTCTACATGCCGACAGCACCGACGCGCAAAAGAAGCTCGCCAGAGAACGCCTGCAAATTCTCAAGGCCATTGTCGCGCCGAAGGTGAACAGGAAGGACATTCAAGTCCTGGTTGACGAGCTTCCGCAGAAAAGGGAGTTCATCCTCACAATTCAAATGACCAAGGTCCAGCGAGATGCTTACCGAGAATATCTGGAGACTGCACAGCGGAACAAGGGAAATGACCTTTATCGCACCGCCTGCGTTTGGGGTCTCATCGCCTCTTTAAAGCTGCTCTTGGCGCATCCAAAAATCTTCAAAAGCAAGATGGAGGAACGCTTAAGTTCTAATCCAGCACTGGCCAAGGGCAAACAGCGCATAACAAACGATGAAGACCCAGACAGTGATGAGAATGATGAACCACTGGATTTGTCGCGGGACACGCTAAGGAATGTTCTCGCCAAGGTGTCGATCAGGGGCATCGACGACATTGTGCATTCTACCAAAGTCACTGTGCTCTTGCAAATCCTTAAGGAGTGCAAACAGATCGGCGACAAGGTACTCGTCTTTTCTCAAAGCATCCCAACCTTGAACTTTCTGCAGGATCTGTTCAAGCAGAAGAAGATCAATTACAAAAGATTAGATGGAAAGACACCGGTCAGTCAACGCCAGGCTGCTGTCAAGGAGTTCAATGCAGTTGACTCACTCGATGTCTATCTGATTTCTACCAGGGCTGGTGGTGTCGGTCTCAACATTCCTGGGGCCAATCGCGTAGTCCTCTTTGACTTTGGCTTCACTCCCGCGGAAGAGCAGCAGGCTGTCGGTAGAGCATATCGGATTGGCCAAGAGAAGAAGGTATTTGTTTATCATCTTAAGGTCGGTGGTACCTACGAGACCGCCATTCACAATCTGGCAATCTTCAAGAGGCAGTTATCGGAGCGGGTTGTGGATAAGAAGAAGCCAATCCCCTCTTCAACCAGGATGAGAGAGTACTTCATTACACCCCCTGAGAACCTGGAGCAAAAGGATCTGTCAGCTGTGAAGGGCCTTGATCCAGAAGTCTTGGATAAGGTCCTTGCATCCGCCGAGTGCAGCAGTATCATCCGCGAAATCGATTCAACCGAGACTTTCGAAAGGGAGGAAGTGTATGAGTTCACTGCAGAGCAACACCGAGAGTTGAACAAGCAGATTGAGCTGGAAGAGCTTCGAATCAACAACCCTGAGGAGTACAAGCGGCAGATGTCAACAGGCTCGGGATTTGCGCTGCCATCTCTTCCACCAAATCTTGGTACGCCAATATCTACGGGCGGTGAGTCCCCGACCGCGCTGCTCAAACACGCACAACAAAACACAAATCAGCAACGTCAGCTAATCCGAATTCTAGTCCCACTCCACCTCAGAGACAAACATAACCCAGCAACACCTGGCTCAGCTCCTAGTATCCCCCTCTCTGCTGCGAACAACATTTCTGCAAGCACCCAAGCGGGAGCACCAATTCCACGAGTAGCTTCAACTGCCATAGCGAGCCAAACAGTTGCGTCGTCACCAAGCCCGGCTAACGGTCAAGTGGCCGCATTGAATCCCATTCTCGGAACCAATACGCACTACAAGGTGGCCGAAGCTCCAAGAAAGCCCGCTACCCTCAAAGCGCCGGAAATCATCCCCAAACCAAGGAAACCGGAGGATACTACCCCAAAGCTTCTCGAAGCTCTTGGCGAAGTGCACAGAAAGCTTCGGGATGACGGTTATGACATGTCCGTCCATCCGCAAGATCTGGTTATGCAGATCAATTCGGAATGTGATCGCCAGGATATGGCCGCAGGAACGCTCCCTAGAATGGATAAACTGCGAAGCTTGTGCAAAGCGGTCACAGAAAGTACCAGGTTTGGAGAGGCTTTGCTCGCAGGATACCTCACGCCTAATGAGGTAGTAGCTATGGGCATGGCTCAGATGAAGGCCAAGATCGCCGAGTTTCAAACCATGACAGACGACTGCTTTAAGCAAGAGTTGTGGGCGCGTCACAAAGCCAGCGTAGGCACACCACCACTACCAACACTCCGCCCCGCATCAAGTGGAAGCCGAAGAAGAAGCCAGCAACATAACTGACAAATGAAACAACCTAACAGCACGCCCCGAAATCGACGGCCGACGTGACAGTCAAAACCGAGAAAACAAAAATGCGACCACCTCTTGCGGAATCTGATGCTATAGACGGTATAGCAAGGAGCAGCAGCACCAGCACGACCACCAAGGCCACTCCTAGCCGAACGTTAACGGAAGAGATCGAACGGAAGAAGAAGAAGAAGAAGAAAAAGGAGGAAAGGAAAAAGCACAAGAGGAGGCTTCAACCGGGTGGCACGGCCGACATGCCCCTAGTGATTGATGACGACTGAAAGTATCGTTTACCCATTTTCCTAAAGTCGATAACCCCTCTATTTTCCGTTCTGCTCTCTGTCGCCCTCTTGAGATACCCTGTCTTTTTTTTCCATTCCCCTCCAGTCATTGCTTTGGCGTTCCGGTAACAACCAGCAAGGATATTATCAGCGGTTGGAAGAAGGACGATGGAGGCAAACATCAGCAGATTGAGGACTCTGTCGGTACGATTCATGCTTGGACAGGTATTGCGTTATGAGGAGGATGGTATGATTATGATTACCAACATTCTATATAAAGTGCATGAGGCATCTAAACGAGCGAGCATTTTGTAGATTTTGATTTCACTTGGCGATGATTCAGTTGGCATGAGGACAGGGCAACATGGCGCTTTTAGGAAGGAGATACCCTCAGTGACTACACCTAGACGGAGATGCATGGCTTACTTTTAGTATATATTGCGTACAGATGGTATGCCGATCCCGAAACCAGACATGGTTCACAAAGCCAGTCCCCGGATAATAATGTTGAACAAAGTGACTTGAAGGCAATTACCCCATACGGCACATGCTTATTCGGAACGATATGGATGATCAAAAGTACATCAAATCAATTCATTACGTGCAAACCGCATCGCAATGGTAGCTTTGATGTACATAAAAGAAGACAGGTGGTTGGCAATGACTGACCGACTGAATGAGACGCACAGGACGGCGGTTGAGGTGCCAAAGGTACGTATAGAGGTACGAAGTACATTACTGTACGGCACTGTACACTACGGAGTCATTCTGGACCCCGCTTCCGCGTGGAGCACCTTTGGGCTAGCTGGGCCCGGCCGGTCATCGCTGCAGAAACGTTCCAACCAATCAGAATGAGGCTATTAGTGAAGAATCGCATTTGAAACCCAAAACGTAGTCCGTGGCATCCGATTGCCGAGACGATTCCGAGTCCCGACTCCCGGAGGCAGAGGGAAAGCCGCAACGGTACATACACACGTCGTTCTACTTTTAGGCGCTGGTACCTACTTATGTACGTAATCATACGTTGGATGGCATGTTACAAAAGAATAAGAGGACTCGAAGAACAAGTACGCCACTGGGTTCGGGTTATAAAATAAGCGGTGGTATGTGTAAGTAATCACATTGAAAGTCACAGAAGAAGAAGAAGAAGAAGAAGAAGAAGAACAGAACCCAAAAAGGACAAGTTCTGGGTTGGGGTCATGAAGATCGAAAAAGAGCAAGATGAAAATATGTAGTCTAGTGTACATAGTGCACAAACCTCGAACGATCCGGGACTCGCTGATCCGGTCCGGCCAGATATCCATCCAGGGCATCCAGAAGAGCCGGACAGATCCACATGCGTCCGCAGGGACCGTCGAACAAGACCCCCGCTTACAGTGCCACCTGGGAGCTGACTGGTTGGTCAATTCCAGTACTGGTCCACGACGAAAGGCTCGCCGAGCCATGGAAAGTTGTCGACTGCTGTGCCCACCTATCTTTTTGCCTCAGCTTTTTTCCCGAAGAACATCTCCTTCCTCCTTCTCTTCCCTTTTTTTTTTCCCCCAACCTTTCCACTCCACGCACATCCCCGAAAGTTGATTCTCAAACGGCTTTGCGGATCTTCCTAGACGACGACACCAGTTGCCATCGCCAAACACCACACCCATCATGGACTCCGTTCTTCGCCAGTCCAAGGCCGTGTGCCCCTTCATGAAGAAGGCCACGGCTTCCAGCCTCCGCGCCATGACTACCGCCGCGCGCCCTGCCGCTTCTCCTTGCGGCGGCGCCATTTCCAAGCTGCAGGTCCTCGCCCACCGCTGCCCCGTCATGGGCAAGGCCATGGCTGTTCAGTCTGCTCGCACTGGAGGCCGCGCCAGCGCTGCTCCTGCTTCCTTCGTTCACAAGGCCAAGTTGCACACCGGCCGTCCCCGTGAGGCGCAGGCTGTCGAGGGTGTCTTCACTGGCCAGAAGGGTGAGTCGCGCAGTTCCTGTGTTTCGCCGTGCTACAGTATGTTGACTTTGCTCTTTTCTTCGCAGCCGGTCTTCCTCCCCATCCTCCCGTGAAGCCTACGACCGCTACCGCCGCGAACCCGTCGCCGGCTGCCTGCACTGTTTCGGGCAACTTTGGCACCAAGTTTAACTATGAGAAGTTCTACGAGAACGAGCTGGAGAAGAAGCACAAGGACAAGTCGTACCGCTACTTCAACAACATCAACCGCCTGGCCAAGGACTTCCCCCGTGCCCACATGGCCACCAAGGAGGAGAAGGTCGCAGTTTGGTGCGCCAACGACTACCTCGGCATGGGCCGCAACAAGCACGTCCTTGAGGCCATGCACACCACCCTCGATGAGTACGGCGCCGGTGCTGGTGGTACAAGAAACATCTCGGGTCACAACAAACATGCTGTCGAACTCGAAAATAGTCTGGCTAAGCTCCATGCCACGGATGCTGCGCTTGTTTTCAGCTCGTGCTACGTCGCCAACGACGCGACGCTGGCTACCCTCGGTAGCAAACTCCCCGACTGTGTGATTCTCTCCGACAGTCTTAACCACGCCTCCATGATCCAGGGTATCCGTCACTCTGGCGCGAAGAAGATTATTTTCAAGCACAACGATGTCGAGGATCTAGAGAAGAAGCTGGCTGCCCTGCCGCTACATGTTCCCAAGATCATCGCCTTCGAGTCAGTGTACAGCATGTGCGGATCCATCGGTCCCATTGAGAAGTTCTGCGACCTGGCGGAGAAGTACGGTGCCATCACCTTTAACGATGAAGTCCACGCCGTCGGCATGTACGGCCCACACGGTGCTGGTGTCGCTGAGCACCTCGACTGGGAGGCCCACCAGCGCGGCGAGACCAAGGGAACCATCGCCGACCGCATCGACATCTACTCGGGCACCCTCGGCAAGGCCTATGGCTGCGTTGGTGGCTACATTGCCGGCAGCGCCAAGCTGGTTGACACCATCCGCTCGCTCGCCCCCGGCTTCATCTTCACCACCACCCTCCCGCCCGCCGTCATGGCCGGTGCCCGCGCCGCCATCGAATACCAGATGAGCTACGACGGTGACCGCCGCCTCCAGCAGCTGCACACTCGCGCCGTCAAGGAGGCTCTCGCGGACCGTGATATCCCCGTCATCCCCAACCCCAGCCACATCATCCCCATCCTCGTCGGCAACGCCGAGCTGGCCAAGAAGGCCTCGGACAAGCTCCTCAACGACCACCAGATCTACGTCCAGAGCATCAACTACCCCACCGTTCCCGTCGGTCAGGAGCGTCTGCGCATCACCCCTACCCCGGGCCACACCAAGCAGTTCCGTGACCACCTCGTCGCCGCTCTCGACTCCATTTGGACCGAGCTCGGCATCAAGCGCACCAGCGACTGGGCCGCCGAGGGCGGCTTCATCGGCGTCGGCGAGGCCGAAGCCGAGCCCGTGGCTCCCCTCTGGACCGACGAGCAGCTTGGCATCGCCGATGCCGTCGCTGAGCTCCGCGCCCAGGCCTCCGACGAGAAGAAGGGTGTCATCAACCAGCTTCTTGAGAGCGTTGCGCTCGAGCAGGAGCGTGAGGCGCTCAACGCTGCTGAGGAGGTTGCTGACGCTGCCAAGGCCGCTGCTGCTTCCGCTTAAGTTTTCTTTTCCTTTTTGAGGAAGAAGCTATAAGCAAAGCATCGTTGCTCCAGTGTGACGAGGTGAAACAAACAAGGGGAGCTCAACGGGCCCTTTTCTTTTCTTTTTCCTACCCTAAAAGGAAAGAAAAGCACCTCACGTTCCTTGGAGCGAGCGCGCGCGGCACGGTGGAGGAGTGGAGCAACGATGTCAAATTTGTCCTATTTTATTTTTATTGGGATCTATTCAGGCGATACCAACTTGCCTTTATGTCCTCTCTACCACTATACCAATACCTTGGTCATTTACAATTCGTTCTGTTATGCCTCTGGCGTACACCATCTTGAATAACAAAATCAAAAGATTTTTCTGGCTGGGACACCACAAAAGATGGTGTCCCTAAGAACCCGAATGGGTCAAACGCCGCTACACAATTCTTCTTCGTTCCTGATATTCTTTTTGGGTGAAAGGTGATGACACTTGTGAATCCTGACGTGTATGAAACGTATGAATTGTCTTACCGTGAAAACATGTCCGTTTGCCAGGTGAAAAGTTCTCCCATGGTAATGGCGTCTCTGTCTTTCCGCAGGAAAGATGTTTCAGATCTCTCTTTCCTTGATGCCAAAAGTCAGAAAAGACGGCTATTCACCCGAGACACCTATTCGTTCAAACAATAACCGAAATACTTGGGCATTGAAACTAAAGAGGAAGTGAAGGAACCTAATTTGCATCCTCAAGACACCTAAATGACAACCCAACATCCACCACTCCATTACCTCTCTTCAGCCTTTTCTCCCGTCCCCTCAACGGAACCCATCAAACAATTCCCATATCTAACCTGGCACCCAACTTGTGCCCAGCAGTACAACAACCCGGAGCCACATCTCCCTGCCGACCCGCAGCACTCCCCAAACCTGCTTCCTAAGCACGTCTGGCCAAACTCGGGGCCACACTCGCCGTTGATGCTGATGGTTAAGCCGCCGCCGCCCGTTGGTGGGTTCGCAGATGTGGTTGCTATTGTTGTTGGTTTTGTTACTGATGTAACAGAAAAAGAAGTCAAGTTGGTCAGCTCAGCAGTTTCCATACACCTAGCTATAAGTGTGTCCTTCTTGCTGAATTTGCTGGGAGGAGATCATCAATATGATGGTTGATGAGAGACGGACGGTAGAAGGGAAAGAAGGGAAGGGTAATACCACAGTTGCTAAACCTGGCCCCTCCCCCTCGAAACAAAAAAAAAAATTGGGTTTGGCGAGCGAGAGCTCACGGTATCAAGAGATGGATGATGGGAAGGGCTGGAAGAGGCCGGTAGGTAGGGGGAAATGCCTTACTTATTGTAGAACGAGTGCTAGATGTGATTGTGCTCGTGGTTGGAATGACTAGAACGGTAGATCTCGTGCGAATGCTTGTGCTAGTAGTGGAAGTGCTCGTAGTTGGTGGAACAAGGACGCCAGTGGATCGTGTTCTAATGCTTGTGCTTGTGCTTGTGCTAGTTGCAAGGACTGTGGATCTCGTTGTGGTACGAATGCTGGTGGAAGTGCTCGAGGACTTGATGCTGGTGGTTGATGTAGTAGTTCTTACCGACGACGAGGTAGAGCTAAGCGACGGAACGACTGGTCCAGTACGGTACCAGTTTTCTTCCGGGTCGCCCAGACACTCTCCTACTGTTACTGCCTTGTATCCCTTGGAAAAAAGTGAAGTTAAGATGTAGTCAGTCAAGTTGTAAACCGTCTGTACATGAATGTCGTGTTCGATCTGAAGGAAGCTGTCGTAAGCCGGATTGGAATTCTTAATTGCCTTATCCCAGATGTTCTTGCTAGTTTGGATCTGTCTCGCGTCGTCGTGCAGATAGCCCTCAGTGTCAAGATCGAAGTAAATGACATGGTAGCCGAGTGTTGACAAGACGTTTTGGCAGTTCTTCCCGCAGATCGAATAAGGGGGCCTAGACGTAGTCGAGAGTCAGAAGTGAGAGTATAGTCGAGAATACGTTCGAACGTACCTCATATACGTTGGAAAGAAACCAAGGATGGAGTTAAATGCAATCTCGTTCCACACCATCTGGTTCGTCATTTGAGTGTTAGTCAACTGACTGGCATTCTCGTGAGACCAAGTATGGCTGGCAATCTGGTGGCCCTCTGCATACATTCTCTATCAAGGAAGTCAGTAAAGAGTGGGCCACAGAGTCTTTGAGGATAAGTTATTACCCTGATAATCGCCGGATAGGGAGTACTTGGGTCATTGATCATTCCTTTACCGATATTGTTACCCGTAATGAAAAAGGTGGCCTTGGCTCCATAGCTCTGTATCCAACGTCAGCCGTTGTCCTCCGTGATCAAGTGAGGGGGTTCCAACCTTCAACTTGTCGAGTAGATCGTTAGTGTAGAGGTATGGCCCATCATCGAATGTCAACGCAATTCCTCCGTCGATAACACAGTCGTAGATTCCCCCTCCACCATAGAGGACTTTGCCCACTTTTGGCCTCGCAACTCCTGACGTGTCCGGTCCGGAAGGCTTTTGGTTCTATGCCGGCTGTTAGTGAAATCTTTGCGCTTATATTGTGCGGGATCAATTCATACCCCGTCGCATCCTGGGCCATAGTTTATTTGGCAATCGGGAGCAGTGCAATAGTCCTCACCCACTCCACACCATCTATCAGGGGGATGTCAGTACTCATACCCATCGGCTTGAAGCAAGGAGAGTTAGTCGAACCCTTCAAAGGAGCAGCACTTTCCAGCTGCACAACTCCCAAGTCCGGGCCCGCACTGTTGATCGTCCGCATCCCGCTTGCGCGGGCCAGTTTTTTGCTTGAGTGTTGACGCTCTCTCACTCAAAGGGGTAGCTGCGTGCATAGGTCCCGAACGAAGAGACTTTAGCTCGGACAAAAAGTTCCTGCCTCCCAGAATCTTTGGCACATGCTGGCCACCGCTGGTGTCATGGGCAAACGTCAAGCCAAGCGAAGTGGCTAAGAGAGCGGACGACAGCTTCATTGTTGTAACCGGTCAGAGGACGATAACCATCAGCGGGTATGGCATCGAGTGGCTATGTGCCAGTACGATAAAGACCAAAAGTGAAAGTAAATAGACGAGCCACAGAATGTGCAAAATGGTGATGAAAAAGAAGAACCAGGCCTCGTAAAGTATGGGAACAAGGACTACTGGCCGGCCTTGATTTAACGAGTGGAAAGACAAAATATTTCGCGAGTACACGCGGTAATGTTGCAGATCGAGTCAACTTTCAGATTGCATGGAAGGGTGGGAAACAACATAAATGAAAACCAACGATGCCATCTCTCTGGGAGACGTGACATTAATAGAGTATACAACCACAAGGTTGCGATGTACAAATTATCGTCCCTCCCACCGTTAGCCATGCCTTTGCAGTTGCGGGATCTTGTCTTGCTTCGTTTCTCTCGCTTCAGCAGCGGTAGGCATATTGGGTGCTCGTAACATGGGGTCACAGTGCTTGAAGATGATGTGTAGTTGGAACCCGACTCGTACAAAATGCAGCCTCGGAACGAGGAAGACTGGGACCCCGGCCCTGTCCCGCGAAGAGTTCCTGCCGGTAGCCGACGAGGTTAAGAATATCCGCCATTCTGGAAAGACGAGCTGTCGAGCTGCTGTCCCTTTCGGTGAACATGTCATTTGTGTGACAAGCTCCTGTTTCCGCGGGTGCGCCACCTAGTCTGTTTGTACTTGTTGAGGAGAGAAGGTACCAAGAAGCTCACGGATGTCGAGGTTCCATTGCAGAGATAGGCAAGCATGGTGATACCAAGTCGGACGTCACAACCGCCGCCACAACGTCGGAATTGAGGAGGAGGTACAAAGAATTGTCCTTACGGAATGATACACGGCGCCACGGCGTAAGCATTTCGAGAGATCGGCCGAGGCAATCTGGGGGTATCTGTGGGTATTCGGTGGTTATAGCAAAGATGATCCTCGAGTAGGACCATGGCACTCACTTGAAGATGGTCAAGTAGACCTTTAATCCGGAGATGTATCGATGTTCCCTTGACTCACATGAGAAAGCTGTACGAATGTTTGTTCTCTTGCAAGATGGAATTTGCGGGGGATCAGCCTCATGGCCGGCTGATATTCCAGTCGCTTGCCGGTAGATCTGGGGTCTTCGAGTGCCAGGGGGACTTCATTGCTAGGGGCAAACTGGAAATAAACCCCCAAAAGAGGTGATGGTGCGGCAAAATAAACAAATAGGCCGAATGGAAAAAGGATGTCGCGCTGGGATACCGGAGCGTTGTCAATATCTGAATTTCGGCTGAATTGGTGTATTGATGGAGCAGCGGCAGAGGAACCGACAACCATGCTCTGCGAAAAGTCGGTTAGCAAACGTGATTGCAACAACAAGACGAGGAAAACGTCAGCTTTATGGAAACCTGTCGTTTCTTTGCAACGAAGGGACTGTACATGAAGGTGATTGAAGCATCCGCTGAACGTTACCACAATTTGGTTCCTGGCTGCCTCATACGTTCCGCGTCCTCAGTTTGGGGCCAGGAAGAGAAGATCTCGACACTGTTCACTCGGCGGTCTTGTAGCAAATTCAGTTTATGTCGAGTTGAGCAAGGGTTTGTGTGAGTGTGAAAGTAGGGAAAGGCCTTGAGGTATTGAAGGAAGTGACGAGCAAATTTCTCCGCGCTTGCCGTTTTCCCCGATAGCCATCTCTGGATCACGAAGCTGATGCCTGCGCTGCCTCTACCAGTGTCGGCAAGAGCTACTTTAACCTCCGAGATGCCAGATTGGGTAGGTAGGCTGGTGTGTCGGGCTGGAAAGGGAAGCTTTCACCTTCTTAGGTTCCTTCCTTTCTCAGATTCAATTTCTTCCCCAACCAGGATGCTGTGTGAGGCGCATTTCGAGATGACGAAAAATACATCGATGTCTCATGCACAGGGGCACCTTGAGCGCCTCAACCTCGTCTCTGCAACCATCCACGATGCATACATTAATTGCATGGCAAAACCTCCGTCGACCATGGGACTGTCCGCCAGAAAACCAGGGAAGCCAGGTGTGGTCGTCATCCAGGACCCAAAATCTGGCTGTGTGACTGTCGCTTGACTGAAAATAGCCCAATCGCTCTCCATCAGACCATAGATGGCTGTTGTAGTAGCTGAGGTGGTCGCTCGATGCGGAAACTTCCACAGCCCAAGTGATATAGCATAACACCATCACCCCTTTCTGTGGTGGTAACGTGCCATGCATCAGGTACGCGACTCTACCCATATGTTGTATCATCTCTTCTTTCCCTCGAAGAACCCTCCATGGCCGTGTTATTGTTGACATCGCTGGCCTGTAGTCGGGATGTGGCTCATCTCAAGCCCAACGCATGTATCGATTCCCAAAGTCTCTCCCTTTTTCAGACTGCTGACCTGCCGGCGTGGGTATATGAGCGCTAACGTCAAACTCGTGAGCCTTGAGCTGGTCCTATTGCTGCATACGAAGCACACTCTCATGCCTGTTCGTGAGTTTGATCGGATAGAATGAACTGCTTTGCTACTTTGCGAATAGAATATGGTAACCAGACATACGAGTCTACCGCGGTCACTGTGGCGGTTTTTCGGACAAAAAGGGGAACCCAGATGGGGATGATGGTGGCAATGGGGTCAAAGGTCGTCATCTTGGACGATCCGTTGCCTTCTCAGCATTAACGGACCCAATGGAAAGAGGTAAGAGAGTGAGCATTGCGCGAACCGGAGGGCATGCAGTCTGTCGAGACAAACTCGGAAGGGAATGGATTTGGCGGACGGGACAGTGAGTGAGGGCAACACTCACGGAAGAGCGGTTTAGGGACACATTGACATGTTTATAGGAAAGGATAGTACAGTAGAGGTTGGTCTTGAGCCGCTCCCCCCGCTTGCAGGTCAGAGGGGTTGAGAATGGTTTGTACCTGGGATGATCGGCTGTCCCCTCGTACCGTGTCTGATATTTTCGTGGACCGGGACGGACGCTGTCCGGGGCCGATGTTCGGCATACAGCACGGAATTTTGCGGGGCCAATGGCCTACGACCCCGGGGGAGAGGGAGCGGCTACGGGCAATGACTCCTCTGCTGCAGGGTGGACGTTATGGGGCTGTCCTGGGGGGCGCTGCAGGGCGACCAAAAGGGTCCCCGATTGAGCTGCAGTGATTGGTGAATGAAATTTTTATAAGTGACATCAGATCATCGACTCCTCCCACTTCGAAACATTGAATTACCCCTCCATCTTCCTCATTTCAGGATATCTCGACAAGAAGAGAGAGCCCGGTAAGCATTGCTTTGCAAAATATAGAAAAAAGGACCAGTGCTTACACTCATAACAGGCCAAAATGTCCAGCTACGACAAGTACCAGGTAAAAAAACCGAAAAAGACTTTCATGCGTTGATTTCGACCCCGCGATACCCTCACTTTGGCCTTGTCCCTACTCGACCCAACCACGACGTCTGATCTAGCCCTTACCCATGAGATCCTGAACATTCTACTCGCCTAGGCCTATGCCAGTTTTATTCAACCCAGGTGACACCAAGCTAACTCACTATGCCACTCAAAGACCCCCCTCGCCACGAGGTATGCGTCCCAGGAGATGATGTCCATCTTCTCGGCTCGCACCCGTGCCTCCACCTGGCGTCAACTCTGGGTCTGGCTGGCCGAGGCCGAGAAGGAGTTGGGTCTCAACATTCCCGATGAGGCCATTCAACAGATGCGCGAGCACGTTACTGTGAGCGACAAGGCCTTCGACGTCGCCCGTGAGTACGAGAACAAGTTCCGTGTAAGTAGAAGAAAGAAAAAATTACCCTACAGGCAAACGACGAAAGATCTCTGCTAATTCACCAACACAGCACGATGTCATGGCTCACGTCCACGCCTATGGCGAGGATGCTCCCGCTGCTGCCGGCCACATTCACTTGGGTGTAAGTGAATAACATTTCTCCCTGAATCAGGGAAGACTTCTGAGCTGACCATGACCTCCCATCACGCAGGCCACCAGCTGCTACGGTACGCATATTACTAGTTCCTTTTGGGACGATCCATGCTGACTAGTTGAAACAGTCACCGATAACGCCGACTTGATCTTCATCCAGAAGGCTCTTGACCTCATCCTCCCTAAGCTGGCCAAGGTCATCCAGAACCTCAAGGAGTTCGCCCTTAAGTACAAGGACACCCCCACCCTTGGCTTCACCCACTACCAGCCCGCCCAGCTCATCACCATCGGCAAGCGCGCCTGCCAGTGGATCCAGGAGCTCGTTATGGACCTCGAGGATATCGAGACCGTCCGCGAGCGTCTCCAGTTCCGCGGCGCCCAGGGCACCACCGGCTCGCAGGCCACCTTCCTCGAGCTCTTTGAGGGTAACGCCGACAAGATTGTCGAGCTCAACAAGATCCTCTGCAAGAAGGCCGGCTTCCCCTCCACCTACCCCATCTCCACGCAGACCTACACCCGCAAGGTCGACCTCCGCGTCGCCAACGCCGTGTGCGCCATCGGCGCCACCGCCGAGCGCATCGCCTCGGACATCCGCCACCTGGCCAACCTCAAGGAGATGGAGGAACCCTTTGAGAAGTCGCAGATTGGCAGCTCGGCCATGGCGTACAAGCGCAACCCCATGCGCTCCGAGCGCATTGCCGCCCTCTCCCGCAAGCTGGCCAACCTGCCTGTCAACTTCAGCAACACCTTCAAGGCGCAGTGGTTTGAGCGCACGCTCGACGACTCGGCCATTCGCCGCATGGACATCCCCGAGATGTTCTTGCTGGCCGACTCGATCCTGCTCGCGCTCGACAACGTCACCAACGGCCTGGTCGTCTACCCCTCCGTCGTCCGCGCCCACATTGACCAGGAGCTGCCCTTCATGGCCACCGAGTCCATCCTCATGAAGCTCGCCCAGCACGGCGTCTCCCGCCAGGACGCCCACGAGGAGATCCGCGTCTTGTCCCACCAGGCTAGCGCCGTGGTCAAGCAGGAGGGTGGCAAGAATGACTTGCTGGAGCGCATCAAGAAGTCCGAGTTCTTCAAGCCTGTTTGGGGCGAGATTGACGGGCTTGTTGACCCTGCCTTGTTCATTGGCAACTGCCCCAGGATTGTGGAGGATTACTGCAATGGTCAGGTTGCTGAGAAGTTGAGCAGGTATCAGGAGACTTTGTCCAAGGCGGAGACTGCTCAGCTTTCTATCTAGACGTGCTAGAGTAGATGGGGTGGTGGTGTAGTTTGCTTTTGGAAGTTCGGGTATCATAAGGAAGTGGGTATTTGGTACATAAAAAGGATCCAATAAAATTCAGCAGGTTCTTACGAGAAAAAATGAGGGTTGATGATCTTAAGCTGATGGGGGAAAAGTAAATAAAGCGTCGTTGACTATCTGTGTAAAACTCCCTCGCCGTCCACAACCTCACATTTCAAACCGATCTCATTCAGATATACTTATCTATCTCTATCCTTACTAGCATTCGTAGACAAACCTACTCTCGGCTTGACTTGCTTGAATGTCGTATGCTTGCCTAGCCATCGGTTAGGAGACTGTGAAGACTAATAGAGGAAAAAAGTGAAGGAACACTTGAGAAGCTAGGATAGGCCAGATACCCTTTCGGACTTTTTGTATATTCGTTCCCACTCTTCAATATGTGCTGCCACCTAAACTCTTCGGCCATTGGAACCATTGGGTGAGCTGCTCATGAAACGGAATTCAAAGCTTCTTAGACACTGGCCGATTTCTATGCAAATTCATTTGCCCCCCCCCCCCACACACTTAGTGGCATTCCTTGAAGAGCCTATACATTGCAGTAGCAGAAGTAGGAACGGAACTTATTTCCAAGCCAAGTTGCGCGTGTTTATGTTTACCTCAACTGCTTTTCCTTGTGAAGACGAAGCCACATACTACTAGATCCTTCTTAGATTGTCAAACCTCTATCAGCGCCTCAGGAGGTTTATGTGTCCGTTAGCTTTGTTCTGAATGTTATGATCTTGTCGGACACTTTACGTAACCTCAAATTATAATAGTATATCTCATACACACTTGATGCTTGATAGGAATGAGTGATGTAAACGCCTTGAGGATAGAGAGGAGAAGATCGTCTGAAAATTTTAGAGGTAGATGGAAATTCATTCAGAAAATTGATACGCTGAGGACTTGCGAAGAAATCCTCCAATGGAAAACCCAGTGAAAATCAGCAAACCGCCTGGAACTGAGAAGAAAGGAATACCGGAGATCCAACCTCCGGTTTCGAAATGCACCAGTAACCTTAGAAGAAGAAGAGAAGAGAGAGCCGACCCTTCATTCAACAAAGTTCGTGACATGTATCATGAAATTGTACTCCTGACTCCTCATCTCAATAATCTTTGACAAACCCTATAAATCTACGCCATCTATGACCTCAAAAGTCACATAGAAGGAAAAATGAAATTCTGCGAGGAACTAGTCGGGTTGTACCCACCAGTTTCTTCGCCGCAATCCGTTTGCGCTGCCATAAAGAAATCAAATGACGCATCTTCAAAGAAGTTATGAGACGGTTGAGAGGTTGAGGCCGTGGCAAAAGGGTTGGGGTTGGACCACCCTGAAAAATCTTGTTGCTGAGGCTGCTGCTGGGTCGTCTGGGTTGTAATGACTGTCATGTTTGGCCCTACCTTTGGAGTGGATGAGGATGGCGTATTGTTGTGAATGCTCTCGTTGTTCGCTGATGAGTTGTTGTTGTGACCAAATTGGTAATCGCCAAACAGAGTCAACGACCCGCCGTCGTGCCGTTGTTGGGTTGAGTTATCGAACCAACTCTTGTGCGGACCTCTCAAGATATCTGCGCATCCTGCCTGCCCGGGCTCGCCCAGACTTCCTCGCCTTGGGTCGGTGCAGGTACCGTAGGCGGAATCGGCGAGTGAGGTGGGTTGCTTTCGGGCAGAGAAGAGGGACACGTTAGCTGATGGTTGACTGAAGTTGGATATATCTTGGAAGGATTCGACCTGTAGCGGGGACGGGCTTGTTGGGACGTGGTGAACGGTTGTGTGGGAGGGCAAGCTGTGTCCTGGCTTCTGCCTCACAAAAGTTTCCGGTGTCTCGCTCATCAAGCCATCGCGGTCGACATCCGTGGATTGAGAATCCATGTATCCTACTAGGCTCTCCTGATCCGAGTTCGAATCCTTGGAATGGGGCATCCGCGGCGCAGAGACTAGTCCGGAACCGGATGCCATCTCGAATGCATTATGGACAGCGCTGCTGTGAACAGTACTTGCCACTGACTCCCCCCTAGGGCCTTGGGCTAATAGTGACTCCCTCAACTGCCGGTTTTCTTCTCTCAGTTTTTGTATCTCATTTTCAAGACTAGAACTGGAGGGAACTGATGTCCTGTACTTGGTTGGAGCGACAGTGCCAGATACCAAGCGAAAATCATTTCCAGCTTTCTTCGACATGTTGATCGACCCTCTTGTTCGGTGTGCTGTGTTTTCTTGTCCCGCCATATCAAGGTCCTGTAAGAGGCTGCTCTGCTCGTTATGCTGCCGGACCAATGGCGTGAAAAGATCGTACATGATACGCCACTTCTCCCGCTTCCCCTTAGACACCTTCTCGCATTTGAGATCCAGATGATTCCGGAATTCTAAGGGGTCAAAGAAAGCCTGCCAGCAACGGCGACAAAGGCCAACCCGTGGGTGTGGGTAATTGTTGTCTTGAATCTTAAATGATGAGATCATCCGGGGGTCCACACCGAGGCCATGTGCCGGTCGGAGCAGATGTCTTGCTAGAGTTGAGATGTCTCGATGCGTCGTATGGCACGGATCGGACTTGTTTCTGGTCTCCCTGTTGTAAAGGTGAGGGTGTGCATGGCGGAAGATACACGGCATATTGCTGTCAGTGAATTCCGCGTCATCTCCGAGAATTTCTGTAGGGTCTGGCTTGAGCCTCTTTCTTGATTCTTTGGCATCCCTTGTTCTGATACGTTGGCGGTCTGCGGCCTTTCTTGACGGTCCTCTCGACGATCGAGTTCGCCTCGAAGTCTCCGAGGTATTGGTGCCGCCATTCCCGCATGCTTCTGAGGTGGATGGAGGTGCCGCAGATGTTCTGAGTTGCGGCTCAATATTGGCGAGCGATGGGTCAACCGGATTATCACTGACCCTGAGAGGTTGGCTACCGTGATATGTCTGATCAAATCTTTCGATCATGGTTCCGTTTCTCCGTAGACGGGTAGCAGGCGATGTCCAAGGGATGACTTGAGGAGCATCGTGATGGTGACTTGTATTCTCATCATCGTCATCAAATCTGACGGAGTGGTCGGTGTCATCCTGGTAGAGGGTAAAGTCCTGATGATAATTAGGTACAGGCAGAATATGAGGTGACTGCTTGAGAAGTGGAGTAGAAGATGCTGAGGCAGGATGCCGTCCAGGTTTTAGCCGGTACACAGGTGCTACCGGAGAGCTATCCGCGGGCTGTTTACCATTGGATTTGCTCTTAGTGTACAGCCATCCATGAGCCTTCTCCATGTGTTGTTTGCAGTTCGATTCTCGTTTGGACTTGTAGTCACAACCTTCGTACTCGCAAGCGTAGATAATCGGGTTAGGAGAGTGTTTATCGTTGTTGTGGCGTTCGAGTTCCTTCAGTGTTGGCCAGCCAAGGTCGGCGTACTTGCAATCAGAATGTTGGCACTTGAACGGTCGAGTGTGAGATTTGCTGTGTTTGTTCAGATCACAGGGTCTGGCGAAGAGTTTGGTACAGTCCGGACAGTTGTACGCGCCAGCGGCAAGATTGTATGCCTTAGGATCTGCGGAAGATGAAGCCATGGGAGGCAGATGTGGTCGGGATGTCTCGGGGGTCCTTGTCCGTCTCATACACAGGGATAATAGCCACGCGGGACACTCTGAGGTGTATTAGTCCTCATACTCGAATTGAGAAAGGATGAGAAATGTCTCACAAGAAGACCTTGAGTAGACTCTGCGGGGGTCTTGTTGGAACTTGATATGCTCAAATTGGTCACGACTCTCGTCGAACGAATTCTATGAGGTTCCGCGTCGATGGCCAGCTTAGGCAACCACACTCTTTAAGTGGCTGGGTAGACGGTGATGCGGGGTCAAAAAAGAGCTGGAGATGACATGGGCGTGACGCTTGACAGATGAAACGCTATACTTAGTCGTGATGCGTCGTGGGATCTATGATCGAAGTGATAGCGGGCCTCGCAGTAAATAAGCGTGAAGAAGATAACAAGCAGGAAGAGTGTTGGGAGGCTCTTCCAATCTTGGAGTAGGACAAGCCGCAGCTAATGAGGACCAGTGTTCTTTTAACCTGGCAAAAGAAGAGGAATTGAGCGAGCGCCCAGTTGTACAAGTACGGTTCCATCCATGACTCCGAGCGTTGGGAGGTCGCCATCTCGAGGAGCAGACATGGTACGAGACATAAGCCAGATTGAGGATGATGCTGCGCATTCGTTGCGCAGGAGAGAGGCTCAGCACAAGGCAACCAAGGAGGCCAATGGATGGTGACGATGATACAATGGGAGGTTGGTATTGGGTCGTGCACGGACCATGTGTACCTTGGATGTTGCAACTGGCCAATGACGATGGCGTCTCTATTGAATTCTCGCGTATGTTGGATGTCGTCTGGCTCTCGAATGGCCTAAAGCGTGATAGCGTCGCGTAGCCTGATGTGGTCGTATGTAGGCCGCCCACCACTGAATGGCGTAGACTCACACCCCGACTCGTCAAGCCATTTCTCGTTACCCAGCCCTACCCGTTCCCATTTTCTCGTGAAGGATGACCGTTGACGGTATCAAGCCACGACGGATATTCTGCAGGGTCCAGGTGATGGATAAAGCCGTGTTTCAGTTTCGATGTCTCTTTCCATGTAGGGAAGTATAGTCTGCGTGGGCAATCCAAGATTCTCCAACATTCCAAGTGGATGACTTCTGTGACGGAGGTTCTCGTGCTCATAAGGCGAAGTCTCGACAAGCGTGGACCAAATCACACCTGTCATGAAGACATGTTTCCGTTCAAGCCTGATGGTTACCCCGGGTCCAGAGTCGGGCGATGCCGGTCGGTTGCGGGAAATGTTTCGAGTCGGTGTGGTTGGGTTCGTTTGTGAGTTGGGTCTCGTGAGATGTCATTAACTGTCTCGTATGTCGTCAAACAAATGTGGTTTCGTCGATGTCCAATGATAGCTGCTTGGATTTTCCTGTGTTCGACGGTACGATCAGTTACATGGGTGCTGCTGACAAGGCCTTTGATGGAAGAAGGGTGCTTACCCGAGACGCCACCGAGACCATATCGCATGACAATCATTTTGTTAGCTTTCTCTGTATATGTGACCGACCATGAGGCTGACGATGCTATCATGATAGTCGTAGCCAAAAGACGCTTGTCTCCGAGGGCATTATCACTCTGGCCCTGCCATCGGGTGACCGTATGTGCAAATTGTCGTTTTGTTTCGAGATTCTGTTTCGAGATGCTGTTTGGACACGGCTCGTTTGACGTCAATGACCGGCCGGGATGCTGAAGGAAGGGAAACACTGCGATGTTGGATGGTTTACATAGAGGGGCAAGGACACTCGACCTTCCCTAACGAGCCTCAACACGCACGTCGTTCCGAGGTAGGTCAATGTCCCCATTCGTGGTTCTGGCTGTGTATATATCGAAAATGTATGTAAACTAGCTGGCAGTTTGGCTCAAGAGACTCCTGTAACTTTGCTTGCTAGAGAGGAACTTTCCTATAGACTGGCCTAATAGTGACTTTAGTCCGAGTTAGCAATTTCATCGGAGAAACAAGAAGACTGCAGCGTAACGACTGAGATTTCTCGATAGTCCTCACCACGAAGGATGCTAGATAGTGCAAAATGCTGCCATGAATCATCTGGACCGCCTTCAACGTATCAAACCGGTGGCGACAGAGGGTATATAGGGGTTCCAAGGTTCTGAATCAGAAGCAAGCAGAGGGACCGGGGAACCATGAATGTTCCGGGGTTGAGCATGAATTTGGATATTGAGGAAGAGATCACGAAGTGGATACACGACTCCGCCGTGCCGCTGCCGAGAGAGTCGAGCATTTCGATTTGAAGCCGTCTCGCGGGGTGGAAATTAAGCCTCTCTCGGACCTGACATGGCGTTACATAAAATGAGCACTGGGGAGACTTGACAGGACCTCGACTTGCTTGATTAAACGTTTCTGGTCGGGAAGCGGAACCGCTGGGTAACATTGATTGGTGGTGTGACATTGGGGACCGTGACGGGACGGGAGCCTACGACGCCAACAGAAGCCGAAGCGTCTCAAAGTCTGGCACTGCCTATTTATTGGTACAAGATGCTGGTGCGTGGAGGTATGCTTTTTGGTGTTGATTGTTGCACAGTGCCCCATGTTGTGGAATCGTTCCAGAAAGATGCAGGTCGAGGATCTAGATCTTCAGTCATGTCGGCCGGCTGGAGGCGAAATGTTGTTTCGTTACCCCAAGATAGAAACCGATGAAAGTACGGGTTTGCGATAAATAATAGGACCGAAAAAAGGGGGGAGATAGTGTCGATCGATTATGCGACAGGCATTACTCGATGACGAGAGCGACTCCCGAAGCGCGCAAATCTCGCCGTCTATCGATTTCCTCATGAGGTGAGGGCGGTGCTCTCCACAGGCAAAGAGGTTTATCAAACAGGCGCCCGGTCGTGTTGTCTAGAGATCGCCAGACGAGATCATGTCTGGAGAAGCTCATTTGACCAAAGATTGGAGCGGTGGACAGCTTCGAACAGGACGCGGAGATGGGCAGGAGCTGGAAGTGCAAATCAAGGTGGAAAGAGTCGACCAATGAAGTCACAATTCGCAAAGTTGTCGTCCCGTGAAATTGCGATCTCGCTTGCGTTTCGCCAGGGAGAGGACATCCAACCGCGCCTGCCAAATCTGGCTGGTACCTGCATATAGTGGGGTAACACAGACCCACCGAGCATCTTTGGATCCCATTGGCCCCATCAAAGCGCCGTCCACACACCCTTTCAGCGAACCCATTCAACTAAACGATTGTGTGATTACACTATGCTATGTATAATGTACATATAAAAACAGCAGCCTTGGCACTGTCCCCGCTTCCACTTGGCATCCGTGATACCTCTGTCTGCGCACTCGCCATCACCAAGTTATGACCGAAAGTCATTACATTCAGGTTCCATACCTCTACCACAACAAAAGCACCTTTCTTACAACGAAAGGGATCCATCGATAGAGGTACTCACGCGGGGGTCTCTCACTAGGTTGCTCCCTGTACCCCCGGACTAGGTAAACCTAGGTAACTGACATTGACTGACCCTAGCCGCTAACCCTTATACTAAGGTAACTTGCCCTGATCCTAACTTCTACGGCGGGCGAATTATGGCATGTTTGGTATTACTACGCAGTACAGTCGTTTTGATATGGGACACAGTCGTTGTTGTCAGAATTAGGTACCTTTCTGCACCGGCACACCTGTGCTGCTCCCAATCAGAATCCGGAATTCTCCAAAACCCTGGCCTCTTCATCTTTACTTCCACCACTGGGGTCCGTTGGCTTGTTGTCAGAAGCAAACCTTTTGGTCAAGTCAACATGCAGGCCACAGTCAAAGGCCACGGGAATTGGAGTTGGCGATGACGATGACCAGGGAAGTTACTTAGTGCAATCTTCACTGTTGTAACACCATGGCTAGGGGACCAAACAAGCCGGAAGTGGGAGGACCCTTTAGCTTCCTGATATGCCGGACTTACTCTTCACAGGGCTTCAATTTCCGGGGACAATGCCTGTCTGGTCCCTATCATGAATATCCCCTCTCATTGACCGCCATCTCTCACCCACGTCGCCATAATCTTCAGCAGTCTGTTCGCTACCTTCCCTTCCTTGTCTAGGTTATCGGTAGTGTCGACACGAGCATCCAACGCGGTTACGGACCATCTTTAACCTGGATGTCCTTCTGTGGACCTCATGGCAATAGTAATGGCGGTTGATGTGAGGAACTGAGGGGACCACACACACCTTCAGCAGCCGAGATTGGCTTCCCAGAACTTCCCCCAGGCGCTCTGTGAAAGACAAAGCGGAAGAGGCAAACATTGGCGAACATTCTCACGTGTGCGGTATTCTTGCTAAAAATTGATCACAGACTATTTGCAGGAAGCGCCGTAATGAGTTGGGTGCATTCTACACTACCGTTACCCGTCAGCCGTGTCGCTCTGCCGTTTTCAACTGTCGAGCAGAATGGCCATCCCCTAATACGTACACGAGAGAGCTCGAAGGGCTGCCAAATCACGAATGAGCGTTTTGTTTGCTACGGCAACGGATGCCAGCAAACGTCGGGGGCTTGTCTTTCGCAGGTGAACAAGTGGTGAACACTGGGTTGAACCCCTGTTGCTGGCGAGTTGCTGGCCTGCTCGAATTGGTACGGCGATTTGCGCGACGCATGATGGGAAACCACAGTGGTCGGCCGTCATTGGATCAATGTTTTTTCTACACGCCCGGGCTAGCCAGCGCTGTGGAGGTGAGCGCGATGCTTCGAGGGCAGAGGGAGGAGGAGGACAGGGGACAAGTCTCCTCCACCGAACCCCTGGAACTAGTGTCCATGATGGCAACGTTAATTTCCCGTTCTGCAATGTGGGTGCCAGGGACCCAACCACGAACTGCTGGGGTCAACCCGCGAATTGGACTGGAGAGCCTGGGCAGATGGACGCCATCTTGGATATTTAACACTTGCGCTTCCTCGACCTATCCATCTCTCTTCTCTTCTTTCTTCCCCAGCCAACAAGCCAACTTCAAGCTTCAGTCTCAACTTTGACTTCGGTCGTCCACTCTTTACCAACGCTCAAGCACATTGCTTTTAATAACACTCTCTTCCAACACCAACTACACCGTTCTTCAAGAACCCACCCCTTTTAAACAACCCCCCCAACCGACAAAATGCGTTTCTCCGCTGCTGCTCTTGTCATGGCCGGTGCCGTCCTCGCTGAGGATGCTGCCCAGTCCACTGTCTACCAGACCGACTATGTCACCATCACCTCGTGCGCCCCCACGGTGACCAACTGCCCTGCTCGCAGCACCGTCGTCACCTCGTCGGTCTACCCCGTCACCACCTCCACCATCTACAGCACCTCGGTCCGCACTATCACCCAGTGCCCTCCCTCGGTCCCCAACTGCCCGGCCCAGTCCACCCAGGTCGTCACCGAGACCGTCCCTGTTGCGACCACCGTCCGCCCTGTGACTGAGACCTCCGTCGCCGCCATTGGTGCCAGCTCCTCCGCTGCCTTCTCCAACGGCACCACCATGGCCCCCGTCCCTACCCAGCCCGCTGGCACTGGCCTCCCTCCCACCACCCTGAGCACTGCTGCTCCCGTTGCCCCCGCTCCTGAGCAGTGCGGCCACTCCGTCAAGACCATCTCCACCCAGATCACCACCGTCATCCCCACCGTGATCTACGAGACCGTTGACGTGCCCTGCGCCACCGCCTCGGTTGTCGTTCCCCCCGCCAACCCCCCCGCCAGCCCCTCCGGCGGCTTCGCCCCTCCCGCTGGCAACGGCACCGTCCCCACCACCGGCTCCCCCAGCCCCTCGGCTCCCGTCACCGCCGGTGCCGGTGCCATGACTGGCTCTGCCCTCCTCGCCGCTGCTGCCGGTCTCCTCACCGTCTTCCTCGCTTAAATTCACTTTTAAGTGACGAGGAACAGGAGTTCAACAAATGCGTGGCTCGGAATCGACCTTCGGACGACGCAGAATCAGCAGTTTCTTTTGTATCTTTGATATCCTTGGGTTTTAGAAGAACAAGAAAGGGCCTGGATGGCTGTACCATTGCATGGGGCGCGCAACCGCAACAACAACATATCAATTATTTTTCATGACATGGATCAAGTCTTTTCATGTACATCCTTTTTGGAGAGTGGGCGCGCTGGTCATTCCGGGACAAGAGAGAGGAAGCACCAATTTTTATATACCTATTCATATACCATAGCGAGCATTATCTTTATGTCCTGTTTTGGTTTACACTATCTCGAAATAAAGACGATCTCGTTATACCCTATCTATACCTCTACCGGGCCATGAGTCTCTTGTTTTGTCATTTTTTTATTGGGGAATGCGGATATTCTTTCTACTAGCATATGACAGCGTGCGAAGAAACGTGGTAGAATGGTACTCATATCCTATCTTTGTATTTACTAAATTCTAATTGCTACTGATCGTCCAATGTTTATGACGATGATAGCTGAATGGAAACACTTTTTGGAAACATATTGACCTTCGTACCTGGGCTCTTTGTGACTTTCGATGTGAGCAATGGGGTTCCGTGGTGAGAGCACTGCTGCACTGCCTTTCGAAGATCCCTGTTCCGCCAACCCCTGCAAAAGTACACCATGATGCTCCCTCGTATCGTCTGTCCGCTGCTGCTAGTGGCCCGGGGATCGCCGTATTTCTTTTCTAATGCGAATTTTGGCGTGTTTCGAAGCGGTGGAAACCGTGGAGCATTATTGCGTGCTGCGCCCGGGGATCAGGACTGGGCGTGCTGGGAGAGGTCCATGAACGAACGAACTGCACCGAACAATCCCCGCAATAACACTCACTGCCCTGGTGGGTGGACTTGTGGTTGGACATCAACATTCAAGTTTACCGCGGATCTTCAAGATTGGATGAACGATGACTATGCCGACAGCGGTTAGGATTTCTCATGTCCCTCCCTTCGTTTGTTTTTTTGCGCAAGCGGCAAACAATAGGAAATCAAGTGGTTTCAAGTTGAAAGGAAAAGTGGTCGTACCAATAAACCCAAGATGAACAGTCCAATACGGCTCGCTTTGGCTGGGAAAGGCTGTTACAAAACTGTGATAGGGATCATGATAATCTGAAAACACACCGGCCATGATCACTTAGGCATTCGTCATCCACGAACTGCCCTCAAAATTGGGTTCAGAGGTAAAATCAAGATGCTTGGATGTGTCATAAGGGTATGCCCAAGTCGTAGTGTACAGGTCGTAACGTCTTCGGTTTATTACGACCATTCCAAAGATTGAAAGGCCCCAGGCAAGAGGACTCCGGCCGATGCAAAATCGTGAGACCGTGAAATTATACCGGTAACTGGACAGAAACACCGCCTAGAGGACTTCCGAAGGCCGATGCGCCCAGACGGCACAGCTCGACATCAAATGTCCGGCAGCATGAGTTCCACGCGAACTATTCTGCCCGGATCCCCCATCTGGAAGTGCGCCGCCTTTTCACCGTTCCCTTGTCCGGTTTGCGAACCGCTGAACGAGATTTCTGTTTGATCGCCTAAAGCTCAGTTTGCCCGGCTCCAGTGCGGCTAGTAGCCGACCAGACCTTTGGCGCCGTGCCGTACGGCTCTGTGCGTCACCATCCGGCCATCGGGTACCGTCAAGTCCGTGCGCTGTTCGTCCGGAGAGAGCAAACCCGGGTGCCGGGGCTTGGCACCGTCATCTCTTCCCTCTACCTCCGAGTCCCAAACCTTCAAGCCTCCGTACCCAACGGGGCCGGGACGCTCAATACACAATCAAGCACATTTCAGCCAGAACAAACACATTGGTGTCTCGGTATTCGACGGTGAGGGGGACCAGAAGCAAGCATTGTGAGGAAAGTACATGGATCTTGCACTGTTTTGGTTCAAGGTCGGCACAATCTGGTCTAGTCAAGGTCGGAATGCTGAGATCCCAGCTTGCGTATTCTTTTATTTTGGTTGGTGGTTGGTGATGGGATCTTCAAGAACAGCTTTGATGCATTTGACATCTGAATAGCATCAGAAGTTTACGCTTCCAGACCAACACTACAAGGTGTGAGCGTATCTTGAGGGTTAGGGTCAGCGCAGCGCTGGAACGCGGGGTTACGTAGAGGTACCTCTAGGGATAGGTACCTACCTTTGTCCCCGCTCTACCTACCTCCCGTTGTGAGTTTCCTTCGTTGTGAGTTCTGTTGTGGAAGGGTGGATTAGGTGGTGGTAGTGACCTCCATCACGCTAGCTCATAGGTACCAACAACAAGGTTACCGGACCTCTGTCATCTCTACTCTATTCCAACTTCACGTTCCAGTGCATAGTAAGATACCTCGGTACCGCTCCCGACAATTCGAAACGTCATCCGCTATTTCGCATATGCGCAACTTGACTGCGCGGCCGCTACAAGCTGAGGACTGGGCGCAACTCGACCATGAAAGCCTAGTGATCGGGCGATAAGGAACCACGGCGCCGGCAACCCAACAACTTCACGCTCGAACCATCATGGCCTTCGACCCGTCCAACGGCTTCGTGGCCTCGAGCGATGTTCCCGGTCTCGCAGACGAGCTATTACCCATCTTCGATGTCGAGCAGGTCCAGCTTCAATTCTCCATAGCCGCCGACTTTGTCTCGGCCCAGACAGCCAACAATGTCCTGATATTGGCCCTCTCCAACGGGCGCATTCTGCGCATCGACCTGAACAAGCCCGAAGACATCGACGGTAGGCAGAAACATGGAAGTCAACGGTGGGGTGGATCTGTTTTGCTAACAAGCAAACCATACAGATATCGACCTTCCCAAGAAGCCGACCGAAGTTGGCGTGATCCGGCGCATGTTCCTCGACCCGACCGCCTCCCATCTCATCATCTGCACATCTCAAGGCGAGAACTATTATCTGCACTCGCAGTCGCGCCACCCCCGCCCGCTGGCCCGGTTACGAGGAGTCTCAATCGAAAGCATTGCATGGAACCCCTCGCTACCTACCGCCTCGACCCGCGAGATTCTCATTGGCGCATCCGACGGCAACGTCTACGAAGGCTACATCGAACACTCGACCGAGTTCTACCGCAAAGAGGAGAAATACCTAAAGGTCCTGCACAAGCTTCCGGATGGTCCTGTTACCGGTCTTTGGGTGGACACCCTGCCCGGCGCCGGGACAGACACCAGGCGCATCATGATCAGTACCCAGAGCAGGCTGTTCCACCTTGTAGGCAAAGTAGGCAAAAATGACGGAGGTGGTTCCATCTATGCAAAGCTCTTTGAAGCCGAGCAGCCTGTTGTCCATGAGCTCCCACGGTCGACGGCAGCCACAGCAGCGGCATCGGACCTGGTGATCTCCCCGGACCACCCCCAAGACACCAGCAGACCCCACGATGGTGATGTGAACGAGAGAGTCTTTGCTTGGTTATCTTCACATGGAGTCTACCATGGGCAGCTCCTGCTCAGCCCTTTTACCTCGGAGTTGGGCAACAAGGTCTTCAATGAGGCCCAGCTCCTGCCCAGGGCGCAGCTGATGACTCCGGAAAGGATTGGGGGCAGGAGGATGACAGCTTCAAACGACTACATCAACGCCATTGCCCTTACGCATTGGCATATCATCAGTCTAATAGGCGACCGAGTGGTCGCCGCTAACAGGTTGACGGGGGATATAGTCTACGATCAAGTGATACTCAATCAAGGACAAAAGGCTATCGGTCTATGTGTCGATATCCAAAAGAACACATACTGGCTTTTCACATCGCAAGAAATCTTCGAGATCGTCCCAAGAGACGAAGACAGGGACATCTGGAAGATCATGCTGAAACTGAAGAAGTTCGACGCGGCTCTTAAACACGCTCATACTCCAGCACAGAAAGACGCGGTCGCGATAGCATCGGGCGATTATCTTCTCAGCAAGGGGCAGTACAACGAGGCTGCCGGGGTCTATGGCAAAAGCAGTAAGCCTTTTGAGGAAGTGGCGCTCGCCTTCATTGACCACAACCAGCCTGATGCGCTTCGCAAGTATCTTTTGGGGAAACTCTCGACCTTCAAGAAGAGCTACATCATGCAAAGGCAAATGATTGCAAGCTGGCTGATAGAGATCTTTATGGCTAAACTCAACTCCCTTGATGATACAATCATCACCAGGGCTGAGCTTTCCGAGACATTGAACCCGACACAAACGAGAGAACAGCTGGATGTTGTGCGAGCAGAGTACCAGGAATTTGTCAACAGACACAAATCGGACCTCGATCGGAAAACCGTTTATGCTGTCATTGGCAGCCACGGCCGCGAAGAAGAGCTCCTTTACTACGCCGACGCCATCAACGACTACCACTTTGTCCTCTCATACTGGGTCCAGCGAGAGCGGTGGTCTGAAGCACTCCGGGTGCTCCAACGCCAGACCGACCCGGAGGTCTTTTACAGTTATAGCAGCGTACTCATGACGCACGTCGCCGCGGAGCTCGTCGATATTCTCATGCGGCAAGCCAACCTCGAACCGCGCAATCTAATCCCGGCTCTGCTCGAATACGACCGCAACTACAAGGGCCCTCTGTCCCAAAACCAAGCTATCCGCTACCTTCTCTACGTCGTCAACCAGCTCCAATCCACCGACTCTGCCGTCCACAACACCCTCGTCTCCATCTACGCCGCACACCCGTCCACATCCAAGGACGAATCAGCCTTACTCTCGTACCTCGAATCCCAAGGCGACGAGCCGCGCTTCGACCCGGACTTCGCCCTCCGCCTCTGTATCCAGCATCACCGCGTGCTCTCGTGCGCGCACATCTACACCTCGATGGGACAATACCTGCAAGCAGTCCAACTCGCCCTAGCCCACGACGAGATCGACCTCGCCATCATCGTCGCCGAGCGCGCCCACTCTAACCCGCCCCTGCGCAAAAAGCTCTGGCTCGCCGTCGCGAAGAAAGTCATTTCCCAATCCAACGGCATCAAAACCGCCATTGACTTTTTGCGGCGCTGCGACCTGCTCAAAATCGAGGACCTCATTCCCTTTTTCCCCGATTTTGTCGTCATTGACGACTTCAAGGAGGAAATCTGCGCTGCGCTGGAAGAGTACTCGCGCAACATTGATTCCCTCCGACGAGAAATGGACGAGAGCGCGGCGACGGCTACCAACATCAAAGTCGATATCGCGGCGCTCGATCAGCGGTATGCGATTGTGGAACCTGGCGAAAAATGTTATGTGTGTGGCTTGCCGTTGTTAAGTCGGCAGTTTTTTGTGTTTCCTTGTCAACATGCCTTTCACTCGGATTGTTTGGGGAAGAGAGTCCTTGAACAGGCCGGGCCAGGGAAGGCGAAGAGGATCAAAGAGTGTCAGGTACAGATTAGTAGAGGGTTGGTGAAGGGGAGGAAGAGGGAGGAGATGATTGGGGAGTTGGATGGGTTGGTTGGGGAGGCTTGGTAAGTCTTTTTTATATTTTTTTTATTATCTCTCCCGTTTCGTCCATCTCTCTGAGAGAGAAGACTATAGCAGGATGTATCTGTGCTAACATGTGGTGAATGAAATAACAGTATCCTTTGCAGCGAGTATGCCATCAAGCGGATCGACGAACCGTTTGTCAAAGAGAATGAGGACAAGGAGGAGTGGGCTTTATGAGTTACGAATTGGAGTCGTGTGCCAAAGTAAGAGTATCATCAGCATGCATGTTTTTTTTTTTTTTCCTTCCGTTTTTGTCCGTTTTTCTTTTCTCTTCCATGTCGGTAAAAGTCAAAGGGTTGTTATTGTTAGCATGGAGCGTCGATGTTTACATCACATATCTTGGTCCGAAGAATAATTGAACCCTTCTACTTTCGACGAGTTGGCAGATAGGTACCTACTTGCAGTAGTAGAGGAAGTATTCAAGAAAAATGATGAATGAGATACCCGTTACATACGAGCACTTTGACGGTCACCTACCTAGGTACCTAGTTTACAGCAGCACACGCGGCGGATGGGGCTTTTAATCAAGTTCCGCTCTTCGCATCGATGTTGTCTTCTCCTTGCATACCTTAAGGAAGGAACATCTACACTACTAAGCTTGAAGCTTCGTCAGTTCATTTCCTTACCAACTAAAGCCATGAAGTCGATTAATTCCATAAAAGCCGGCGGGACTGATGAAAAGCATTTCGTATGGCTGCCTAGCTTCTTCCTCATTTTGAAAGGGCTTGAAGCCAAAGCACAGTGGACCAGTAATTGAGTCCAGCTTCCTGCGAAATTTAATCGAAAGCCATCCGTCTTTCTAGAACCTCACTGCTCGGCCATGACTACTCAAAAGCTACCGCAGCAGTGAGTTGATCTTCTGGGCCACCTACCCGGATTGATGGTTTGGCGTCCACTCGAAAGTTCACGCCTATGAATAAATGACTGCCGTATGAGAAGGGGTTTATAGAAGAAATATCGACTTTCGTCGTCACAAAGAAGGATCGGACCCGGACCCAATATCTATAACGGCTCTAAAGGAGGTGTGCTCTTCTAATGTTCCCAAATGAGCCTATAGAATGCCAGGCTTGTAGGAGGTAGACAGACAGAGTCACTGCAGCCCACAACATACACAGATAGGTGCTCTTGCTTAAAGCCAGAGAATCGATTGAAAGTCACCAAAAGGGTCACCTCAGGAAGTCAGGTACTTGAACTTTAAACACTTTCTTTTCAGTCACTATCGCTCTCTTCCTCCTCCCCTTCCACGACTGCATACCGCTCTCCCTTCCTCGTCCCACCATACCCAGCCCTCCCAGTTTCAATAAGCTTCCTCCTCGTCCTTCCTCCCATCATCATGTTAATCGGTTCTGACTCGTCCATCACATCGTTGAAATATTCCCAGTTCCTATCCCCGCCGTCTTTACACCTTCCTGCCGCCATGTTGTAGTAGGTAGGTATTGTATATGAGAAAAAAAATGAATGGAGTTCAAAAGGAAAACTTAACATGAAAAGGAAAAGATGACCGGAAAAATCACAAAATGTCCCTATCCCCGTCCCAACAAAACAAGATGCCATCCGTCGGTAGTATTTGTCTCGGAAAAAGTGTCATTTTTTGCCTGCCCTGTCCTGCCCGGCGCCAGCCAGCCAGCCTGCTGAGTGAGCAACATCAAATCAAAAACAAAAAGAGGTAATCAAAACAAAAACTTGGGAAAAGAAAGGAAGTAGTCATAGTCATTTTCAGACAGACCACATTTGACAGACACCAGCGTAAAACAGACAGCGTGACAGACAGACAAACCTCACAGATAAGTAGCAACACATACATAAGTTTTTTGTCACTACAATTCAAGCCCTGATTAAATCCTCCTCTTATGTCAATTTCTGACATAAGAATACTCACACACTTTATTGGAGAAACTCTTATGTCCCCGGCACAGGCGTCAAGAACGGGCTCAACATCAGCTCATCTGCGCTCGGCCGCTTATTATGATCAATCTCAAATGTCTGCGCAAGGAACTGCTTCGCCTCCTCGCTAGCGTTATCCGGAATCGTCGGCGAGGCCTTGGAGCCGCCAATCTTGAAGATGGCCTGTAACTGGGTGCAGTCGGGAAACGGGTGGGTGCCCGTCATCATCTCGACCACCAGGCAGCCGAGTGACCAGATGTCAGCTTTGCGGGTGTAACTGGTTTGTTTGACTACCTCAGGAGCCATCCAGAAGACGGAGCCTTGCAGTGAGGGACGGTGCTTGTTGTTGTTGGCGCCGTTGAGGATGTTGGTGGCTTCGAGTTTCTTGGAGATGCCGAAATCAGAGATTTTGATGGTACCTTTGTTGTCGACGAGGATGTTGGCGCCCTTGATGTCGCGGTGAATGATGTCACGATTGTGGAGGTAGGAGAGGCCCTGGAGGATTTGACGAACGAAGCTGCGAACGAGTGATTCGGGGAGGGCACCGTATTGGTTGAGCATGGTCTGCACGGAACCACCGGGAACGTATTCGAGGAAAATGTTGAGATATTCGGCGGATGAGCTGCAGCCCAGGTACTGCACGATATTGGGATGTTGGAGGTCACGAAGGAGGGTGATCTCGCGCTTGAGCGCTTCAATCATGCTCTTCTTGCGGGCATCGTTTTTACTGTCTGCACCAGGTGCAGGTGTCTCGACCTGCTTCACGGCGAGCAGTTCACCAGTGATGGCATGTAGGGCGAGGTACACGGAGCCAAATGAACCCTGACCGATAAGAGAACCCTTCATCCACATACTGTCGTCCCAAGCGTCGCCCGCCAGGAAAGTTTGAAGTTCCTTGTCAGCAGCATCCTCGCCATCTTCAGCAAGCGCTTCCTGTATTACCGCGGAATCGGCTGAGTTAGTGGTGCCGCTGTCGTAGTAACTGTGTCTGACTATGTTACCATCGGGATCGATGACGCTAACTGCAGCTGTATCCGAGCCGCTGTCCGAAAATGGAACGAATGATCTCCGGTTAGGCTCGGTTGGAGAGCCTTCTTCTTGTAGCGTATCAAGCACGGATGAAGCCACAGAGTCTCTATATCCGTGAGGCGCCCTTGGCAGCACATCACGCGGGCGTACCTTGGCAATCTGGTTGGAAGCGGTCAACCAGCTGTCTGCGATGGTAGGGATTGGCGGAGCGTCTTGTATGCTAGAGGCAAAGCTAAGGGTGCTAGCAACACTCAGACGATGGTTCACTCTACTCAGACGTGCCGAGCGTCTCATGGACAAACGGGCCGTCCTGTCGATAGCTTCACGAGAGTGATCTGGAAAGTAGCTCGTAAGATCTGAGGCGATAAGCTCGCTAGGCGGTCTCAGCCCACCGAACTGACGAAGTGCTTGTGTACGGCGAGGCATGGCCCTGGGGGTTTCCAGAGGTGCTGGCCGCTCTAGATCCCTAGCAGCGTTTGAGACGTTTCTTTCTCGGTCCTGATAGGACATGGGAGAGAGCGGAGGCTGTTGTTGGAGGTCTTCCCAGCCGACTCCCAGCACCTTTTGCAGCTTCAGCTGACTCCGCTTATCGCTAGGCTCAATTGGAGGCCTATGTGTTTGCTGTGCTTCCTCCATCGCAATGGCAGCTGCTCTTTCGAGTTCTGCCTTGCCCGGCTCTCCAGAAGGAACTCGCCTGAGAATCAGGCGGTTGCGCTCTGGGCGAGTGTGGTCTTTGATGACTCTCCACAGCTCCGTATCCCCGAGGCGGCGGCATTGGTTTGGGTCCGGATCAACGCCGGCTAGCACCCAGAAACAGTAATTCCTTTCATGGTCCTCCCGCAAGCCAAACTTACGTAGGGTAACACGCATAACCTCTTCACAGGTGTTGCAGTCGGCAATCTTAACAACCTTGGTTACGCCACCTGTGGAGATGACGCGAATGACATCCTGACCCTGTGGCAGCGCAGCCATCAGCGAACCATCCATGCTGGAGTTGTTCCTAGTGTGGGCTTGTACCAATCGGCCGGGGTGGGACTCAGGAGGAGACATGGGGAACCGCGAGGGAGCAGCTTGTGTAGGTTGATTGCCATAGCCCTGTTGTTGCCCATAGCCTCGCCGGGCTTGTCTGTTGTAGTCAGAACTAGGTAGCGGCGAGGTCGGCCGCGAGGAAGGTTTCGACATGTCGGCATTGGGGGTGAGTTCGTACTGGCGGTCATAGCGCCGAGGAGCGGACGTCGCCGCTGATCGATTTGTGATGGGCACTCGCAAAGAAGTCGCTGAATACTGGTTATCAAGCACAGCAAAGGATTCCTAGAGAAGCATTAGCCATTAAGCCAAGTCAAAGTGGCAAGCTTGGGCACCTGGATAGCCAAACTGACCCTGTCTCTCTTTCTCTGGTTCGCATAGGTCTGTGTCCGGAGTTTCTTGATGCTCAGAAACAAGCGGACGCGATCTCCAACCTTTTCGATTCCCATCTCTTTGAGGACCTCCTTGTCAATCTCCAAAAGCGCCTCGCCATTTATGTTATTTTTGCGGAATATCCTTTCGTAGTCGCCGCATTTTACGCTCCTGAGATAGTCGCACACCCTGTCCTCGTTCCAGTTCTTGACCGATTCGGGCCCGTCAAGGTCGGAAAATTCGGATTCGGTAGGACTCGCATAGTTCTGGTTGGTCGCATGAGAGACTGCAGGCGCTCTTCGCGAAGGAGTGTAGGCGGTTTGTGGTGTGCTCGCCATCATGGTGGACGACTGGGAACCCAGCGAAGGCGTGAAGGGCGACTTGGATGCCAGCATGGCCATGGTTGAAGCGACGGTCAGCTTGGAAGTAATGATGACATGGGCTGTTAGGTGTGTTTTCTGGTCGTGGCGAGAGGACGTCGAATGTTTTGCGCGTGCAGAGCGGTTGGGGGGGATCGATGGAAGCAGAAGCAGAAGCAGAAGCAGAAGCAGAAGCAGAAGCAAAGGCGGTGGTTGTTGCTGCTACTGCTGCTTTCTGCAGGGAACGGCGATGGTGAATATGTAGGCGCACAGACTGCCGATGCTAATCCAAAAAGCCAAGGCAAAGATGGGCTGACCGCTGTCCGGCAATCAGTGGCTTGCCCGTCGTCCGGTATATGTGGAAGTGGATGAAGCGACCGAAAGAATGTTTGGCGTCGGGCCCAACAAGCTCAACAAGGTGCGGTAATGCCTGGAGCTGGTGCGTGGTGAACGTGTGTTGGTGGTCACACGCTTGGATATGAAGCAGGCTCGGCAAGAAAGACGACGTGGAGAGGGAGCAAGGGGCCCTTGGTTAGAGGTGTGTTGTTGGAATCTCCTTATTCGTGACACTGACAGCCAACGAGGAGACTAACGGTACTAACCACAAAGCCGCCCGGCCCGCTACCTAACACTGTCTCTCCTTGGGGGAGGGAGGGAAGCGGAGGGGAGGGGACCTGGAAGCGCGCAACGGGCTGTCTGCGACAATGATAGCAACCTTCTTTATTGTCTCTTGAAACTCGCACACAACAAGAGAATGGATATCAAAGCACCCAGCCGAAATAATATGTAGTGAAGTAGTAATGGATGTCAGTGCGAGTAGAACTCTTAGTTGAAGGTGCCCGGCTTTGGAAGCCTGTGCAATACCTGCTGTGTACTATCTGCAGCGGTGCCCTGTACGCTGCCCGCGATGATCCAGAATTTGGTTGACTTGTCCGGGGTGGAATGTGAGCGCTGCTGGAGGAAAGAGAGAGACCGTGACAACACGCAAAGTGCGCAAATTCTTTACGCACAAGAGACCACGGCAAGAAAAACCCCTCAATGCCGACTGCGGAGCGAATAGAAAGAGAGACGAAGAAAAAGTTAGCCCGACAACTCGACAAATGGAGAAGGGAGATGGAGGAGGCCCGGAGGAGCTCGCTTCAGTGGGCATGGAGTCGCTCTTTCCACTTGTGTAGGTTGTTGTCACGATGGAAGTGGCCGCCGCGGGGGCAAGGGCAGCCGGGGGCCTGACTGGGCCTGGATTGGGACGATAGCGTCTTTTGCTGCACCTTCCCTCTCTAGCGGGCTGCTGAAGAGAGGAAACCGCGGCGTTGAATGCGTTGAATGCGGCCCTGGACGGGACTGCGACTGGCTACGCTTGCCGAAGGCGGCTGCAATTCGCTCTGCGACTACTTACCCTGCAAGACTTGTGCAAGTGTCTGTAAAGAGAAGGCGGGGGCTCTAACGCTAGCGGCGGATTGGACAGCCTGCAGAATCATCCGCCGCCAAGCCGCCAAGCCGCTAATCATTGCAGGCGCCCCTTGAAACAACGCTTCTTTGGCTCCACCTCTCACATCGCTCGGGAACCGAAAAAGACGATGTCGTATTTGGAAATGATGGCATCCAACTTCTGCGCCCCAAGTGTCACAACGCCGTGGATAGTGGTAGTGTAGATACCAGGCCAACAATTCGTCGAGCCATCGTTCTCCAACTCAAGAGACGGTTCTTGTCTGTTGTTGGTGCATCGGGACCGGCATGACGAGGCGCAAATAAAAGTCAAACAACACCCGGCAGCAACAACAACAACGACAACAACAACAAGAAGTGAACAGCAAAGTGGAAGATCGGCACTAGGGACCGAAAAATCGGCCTGAAACGTCACCTAGCCATGTGGATAGGGTTTGTAGTTAGGCATATTCAAGAGAGCCGTGGTTCCGGCAGCATGTCTGGGCAACCTCCACGCCTTCGCACGCAGATAACCGCCCCAACCCAACTTAACGTTCCATTGCCACCACCAAACTCAGCACACTGGTCTGCATGGAAGCTTTGAGTCTTTTTCTTTGTTGCGTCTTCGTTCCAGCCACGGCGTCGATTATTGACCCCTATCTCGCTTTTTGCAGGCCACAATCTAATTATGCTGGAATTACACACACTATGGGCGGGAAGGGGCGGTGGAAAGATGCGACTGAACAGCACGGGGCAACATGTTATACCGCCGAAAAGCCCCCATTCATTTCCTTGATGCTGTCGCGTAACCCTCCGTCCCAGGGTTTCCTTTATCGAGAAGTCTGAGCGACCCCAGGGACAATAAGGCTTCTTGCGAATGGACCCCAAATTTTTATTCTTTTTTTATTTGTTTTTCTTGCTCGCCTGCACCAACCCATCGCATGTGCTATCCGTTTGAACCCCACTCAACTTTCCTTGTGGTCGAGCTGAAAAGATAAGAGGCTGAGGGCGGATCTCAGGTCGCATGAACTCCGACCCGGCATTCTTTTTTGGCTTTTGCCCCTTTTCCTAATACGATGAGTAATACTACCTAGTCATGGGGGATCAGAATTAACAAGGCATCAGATATCATCCATTCCTCTTGTCTCGCCGTCGAAAATACCCGAAAATGAGGGCCGTACACTACAGTAGTGATAATTGATCTTTCCCGAAACTCTACAAAGACCAAAGACCGATGCAAGCCAGCAAATCTCGGCGGATCCTCCACACCACGGAATATGGGAATCTTCCATATTCCAGGAACAGGGATGTTTCAGAGCACCGAGATGCTCAAAGAGGATCGACACTGAAACCGCTGTCGTTTCATCAACTCCCGTGCCCAAAGAGGCCATAGGTTCTACGTCTTAGTGCACATCTTCACGATTGTTTGGGAACGATCCCAATGTCTCCCTCCGTCGCCTAACAAGTGGTACTTTTGCTGCGCGGGGGATTCGTCGTCTAGGATAGATGATTCAAGGCTGTGAATGAGGTCATTTTTTTTGAGACTTGACAAGAAGCGACAAGCGGTCTGCAGAGTGATCTTCTTCAGCTTCGCGGCTGCTGACACCGAGGTGTGACCCGGAAGAGGAGAGATGAAGAGTCAAGGGCAACTGGTGTAATCTCCTGTTAGGGAGGCCCAGCGCTTCCAGTTTTCGGATAGTTGAAGAAGAGATCATATCAGAACAAAGCCCGCTTTCCCCCCCTTGAAGCGCGGCGAGATAACGGCAATAAGTCTATTTTCGAAAAATGGACTGCTACTACGACATAGCTAATATTTGCGTTCCTTCGCCGTGACGGCATGACGGATGGCGGTCATATATCTGCGACCACCAACAGCGCGTTCGTATCGCCCATCCCATGTTTGTGTAACGGGACCATACAGGTACGACGGGCACAGCACGGGAAGTCTTCCACATAATGTCATGGCAGGTAGGTAAGTTTGCAGCCGCAGTACAGTCGGGTGTTGCGTGTATGTGTGTGAATGTTGCGGTCCTAGTGTCCCATACCGGATACACAATCATGCTTGCGTTGTCATCCCCGTAGTGTCAGTTCTCTTGAATCGTCTCTGGCTGCGGCCATGGATGGATAAGACAAGGAATCAAACATCCCGAATAAGAGATTCAGCCCAAGAGATAGGATGGATATGGTCAGGGAGTGAGTGAGCCGGCGGGAGGGGGGGGGGGGGGGGGGGACGTAGGTTA